TTGCTGCCAAGTTGAGGTACGATGACTGAACTTCAGGATTGATCAACCTTTTCTTAGCCACTGCTTATAAACGAGAAAGACCAAATCAAAATGCTTGTTTGTAAACTGCGTTGAAAATTTAATGATCCACCTTCAATTCTGACATGAGGGCACAAATGATATAGTTCCCTCTCCTTTTGGAATACACAAAGCAAAATATTTAATAAATTTTAGTGGATGGACAAGAGCAATTAGCATAGCTTTCCCTCAAGTTAACTTCTGGCACTGTTCTGGTATATAGGGCCTTGGCACTGTTGATGAATTACACTGACGCTTATTCGCTTCATATTTTGTAACAAACGCGCTAAAACTGCAATATAACAGCACTATATGCTTCTTGACAAAATAAAATAGTATTAAAAATTTAGCCCTGATGGCATTCATTCTTGGTGGAAACGTAATTACAAAATATTTTGTAGTAACTATTGAATTCCGGCCGAAAACAGTGCACGGTTTAAAAAAGAATCATTCCAATGACGGTCCATTGTTGCGGTCCTGAAATCGCCACTATTTCCGGCCTCTCCAACGCAACTCGTTGTCCAGACGTAAATATGCGGGGAGCAATGCCGCTTCAACCCTATTGGCCGTAGTGTCTAACGGTGGCGGCCATATTGCGCAGACCAGAAACCGGCTGCCGCCTGTGTTGAGGAATAGGGAATTCGGGACCTCGATTTACGTTTGCGGCCGCCGTATCCGTTACGTTCAAGTTACGTAGATACGGAACCCGGCATCTTACGCAGAATTGAGTGGGGAACACGATCGTATCTTCAGAATTCCTCAAATTCACTCGCCTGACCTACATTTGCCCCGGCCGAGGGGGTTGGTTGAACCCACCTCGCTAATGCACCGCTAATTAAACTAGAATTAAGCGGTAAAGTGGTCGTATGCGGCAAAGTATAATGCAGAGTGACTGGTAGGAACCCGCTGTAAGGGTCTCAGGTCAACCGGTGACCTCTGAGGTCAGGTCAAGTGATCTAAGGCACGGGTTCGGTTTTTGGTAAATAACTTCGCCAAAAATGGCCGTAGAGCCGCGATTTTGATATCATCGTGTTCAGCTAGCTCAGGCGCATCGAGTGATATACTTTTTGTTCGGGTCAGGTCAACTTAGGGTATTGACCTCAGGTCAAGGTCAGGTCAGCACCCCCAGGTCACGAAGCTGGTCGAAAGAGGTCATGTCGCATATCATTCGATTCGGCAGGTCTTCCTGAGTCCATTGGTGGCTTTCCCGACTCGCTAGCTCAATTTGATCGGGAGTTATTGAAGAAAAATGGTGACCCTTGTGACGTCACGAATGACGTCACGCAAGGGCAACAATGCAAATATGAAGCATAGGACCTTGCAAAGAGTGCATGAAATCATGATTTTATATGCTTGAGATAGTTTCAGATCATTCTCGGCGCCAAAATAACAATTTTCATATTTCCCCATTGACTTATAAGGGTTTAACGTATTAGTTCCTTATAGCTGATGATTTTTTAGGATTTCATCTTGTTCTCCACTCAATTCTGCGTAAGATGCCGGGTTCCGTGTCCACATAGCTTGAGCGTAACGGATGCAGCGACCGCAAACGTAAATCGAGGTCCCGAATTCCCTATTCCCCAGCACAGGCGGCGGCCGCTTTCTGGTCTGCGCAACATGGCGGCACCGTTGGACACCATTTGGCGGCCGATGCGCATTCCACATTATAGAGTTCAGTGGTTCAGACAGAGCGAAAACGAATATCTACCAAATTTCACCGAAAAATATTCACCGGTTTTCAAGATATTAGACTTTTACTTTTGTTTACTTTTTTGGGATCTCCGCTGTTTCTAGCGACTTTATTTTAGAAGTGCGGCGTTTGCGGCAGATGTTGCGCGCAAATAGCATATACCACCGCGTGCTACAAAACGTTTTAGTCAAACATTAAAAAATCGTTAGATATCTGCGCTGACGTCACACATTCAGAGGGGTATTCCTAAGCATTAGCCCCTCTGAATCAAAATGCTGCAATTTTGAAATTCAATATTTCCGATTTAAGGCATTTCTCGATGTTGTGAGTGCCGAAACCGGTAATTGTGAGCCAGGGACCCCATTTTGGCTATCTCAACTCAAATCTAATGTTAAGGTGGGAGGGTCCCTTTAATGCTTTGTTGCAAGGTTTTGATCATTTCTGTAACTGAATGTTTTCAGCTCAGCTGATATTTATGACGTCATAAAAAGACAACGAGGGACGGACGGACCCGAGACGGACCTTGGACGGACTCATGACGAACCCATAGCAAACAGCCCCCGTTCACGAGCTTCAGAATTCCTTTACCGTGACGTCATCACGGCGCATGAATTTTCCTTCACCCATAGAAATGCATGCAAAGCATGGTGTGTTTCAGGCGGGCCAAGGAGAAATCTAAGGCCTACATGTGTTCAAAAGACGTACCACTAAGCCAATGGATTCGTCTCATTACGATAAATGGGGTTGAAATCGAAAAAATCGGCCTATATTTGACTAAAATGGGCCTATCAAATGGTCCTTGCAACTCATAATAAAGGATTTCCTCTGCGTTAAAAAAATTGTTTCTTGTGATTTTTATCAGCTACAGGGGAAATCCTTCATAATTGCTACCAGATTACTACCATATTCCCTCGCATTTCTGTTGCGCATTGCCTCACAAATCAGAGTTTTGTGAAGTTAATATTAATTTAATTGTCATATTTCGACTGATTTTGGCGATTTTCAATTATTTCAACGCAGCATGGATCAGATAGCTCTCATAGTTTGCTGAAGAATGTGGCTTTTGCTTGGTTATTTTCAAGTTATCTGTGATTTGATGCGCCGTGATCGTAGCATTATACAAATTACCTATATCAACTTTAAAAATTGAATCAACTTTTGAAGTGAAGTTCACATGAAAAATCAAAAGTTCAAGCATAATAATTGTTTAAAGATAATGATGCAACATGTGTCTCCCAGATGGAACTTATATTTCAATTAAAAACTGAAAATGGAAAACAGAAGATGGATCTGCGGAGTTACTGAGATCACAAGGTGCTCTTGATTGTTGGTAATTGAAGATGTTGAGAGAACTTGTGAATCTACATACCAGTCCTGACTTGCTTGATTGTTTAAAACTATTTTAATTCTCATAATTGTGTAATGTGTAGTGACTGTGCACACTGCGCAGCACATGTGCGCAGAAATGTGAAGGTGGCTGGTAGGTGGGTTAAACTTCGGAGATGCGAATTTGGATGTCAGTTATAAAATTAATGGTTATGCCTTGTAGAGTAAAGCTCTGCTGTTTTTTTGTAATTGCCTTTTTTATAATTGTAACCTACAATGCTGTTAGTTTCATTTTTATTTAAATGCTCGACCAGAATTTGCACTTGTTCATGCATGAATGGCTAAGTTTAGGGTGTTTATTCAACCCTGACTGCTCAAGTTTTTCAAAGGCACATGACACAGCACGGCTAGATCAGCTGGTACCTACCTGTTGACTATTTTTGTTTTTGGTGGTGATGTGTTTGCTGTTTGTCTTTTGCAAGGTGGTCAATGAAATAAAATAATGCATTATTTTGGAATGTTTCCTTGACAGAAGCCAGGAGCCGGATTGATGTGTGCTGGTGAATGAGATGGTTCAAAAGCATTATCTGATGTTTTTCAATGTGCATAAGCCATAACATCCCTTTCATACGCTGAAGTTTTAATAGCTTCTCAGTCTCTGTCATTTTCCTGAAATATTGGTGTACAGTAGATAAGAGACAGTACCTTCTCAGAGGTACCTGCCTTCTGCTGGATGAATATTTAATTGGTTGGACGAAATGGACAGGTAGCCTTATGATAATGTAATGTGAAATCTTATTTCTATAAAACTTTGAAAATGAAGTTCTAATTATTCATATGTGCATACATTTTTGATGACTAAGAAAGTTTTCCACAAGAGTAGAAAATGTGGGAAAGTCTATCAAATAACACATTCTGAAGGCTCAATGCTGACAGAGTGCTGCCTCAAAGAATAACTGACTTGCTGGGTTACGAATATTTCTTTATTTTAATTTTCAAATGTTATGTACAATACATTGCATTGAAATAACAAAATAGTGCAGTAAAATAGTATTGGCGACGATCAAACAACACGTGCGCCATTGATGTCTGCAAAAATTGCTACCAGATTGCTACCAAATCCGTGACGTCACCACGGCGCCTTTATTTCCCTAGTGAACCAACCTGAGTAGTAAAGTAATCTTGCATAGCAAAGTCAGGGCAGTCAGGGAAGCAGCTCAGGTTCCGGAGGAAAGTATATAGTTTGGAGAACGAGGTTCAAAATGAGAGATGAAATTAATTGTCACCGGTGACCACCTCATTTTGCATGGCTTCAGCCTTCAGGGCCGGGACAAGTGCGGCGCACGAGGCCCCTGAACCAGAACAGTGTCTAAACCTTCTTTATTTCTATGGTCTAAACCCCGAAACGCACAACTATCCCTTATTAAACATCGTTTCTAAAGAATAGACTAATATCAGCTCGGCAAGTCGCGAGCACTTACCAAAAATTTTGTTTCTGTAGAAGCCCGGCAGGGGCGCGGAGCCGGAGCCGGAAGTCCGGCTAGGGAGCCGGAGCCGCCGGAGCCGGCATATTTTGCCCTGAGCCGGAGCCGGAGCCGTGAAACAATATAGCCCGGAGCCGGAGCCGTCAAAAAAGGTGGCGACTCCGGCTCCTTTTTTTGAAGAGGAAAAATTATTGGCTTAGTTCGGTTTGAAAGTTCAAGGCAGTAAAACATGTCGTATGTAAATATGAAAATAGCCTTGTTATACAAATACAGAAGCAACGTGCACCAATCCCATCGTCTTTTTTCTTCCACCCGTATTTAATCGCATAGGGGATGTACTGAGTATTGGAGCCGGAGCCGGAGCCGGAGCGGGAGCCGGAGCCGTCTGAAATTTCCACGGCTCCGCATCCTCAAGAAGGTTTTACATTCAACAAAAAATAGCTGTCATAACTTCCATATATTTCGAGACAAAGCGACACGGCACGGTCACATTCAGGTGTACTCTACAGCGCAACGCCTCCTGACTACAACAGATATCACATCGCTTCAACGGTGACAGGACTGGGCGGGAGGCTAGAGTAAGCATACGGGAGCAGACAGCCAGCGCGGCCCTACTACCAGCTAACGGGCGAGGGCCAAACAGCCAGCCAGCTCCGACCGGCGGAGACGGACAGAGATATAGGGAAAAGAGGAGAGGCTAGGGAGACAAACAGACGGACAGACAGACGGACAGACAAGCAGATACTGACTAACGCGCCGGCAGACGCGGGGCACGGACAGGCCCGGCCCCGATAGGAGTCACGGCAGTTGGCAGTGTCCGGTGGTCTGGAAGATTACCGGGGGCGCTCGGCCCGCCCTCAACACGCGCCTCACGGCCGATCCACTCCGGCGCCGCACGCAATACCTCTGCCGTCACCCGCAGGAGAGCCGCACACATCGAGATCAGGAAGATAAAACAATAATTTCCCACTCTGCTACCGACATAGGTACACATACGGCAAACATAAATAATAACACACGACCGATGCGCTCATGATTGTCTTATTCATATAAATGTGCGTTACATAATGCAATACCTACATAAATGAAGAAATGCCACAAGCTGCCATTCGTTTCACTCACGCGACTCGCAAACCGATTCAGCGGCGACTCTGACACAACGAGGCCGGCGCTCGAGCGCGAGTCGATCACCACTCCGCCGCGACAGCTGATTCAGCTGCGGTCTGTAGCACCGAGCGCGGCCGTGTGTGTGTGTACACGCACCCCTACCTACACGCACCCATACTCGTACCAGAGCGCGGCGGCGGCGGCGCGCTCCTTCTGACTGACACCGTCGTCGGCCGCGGGCGGCGGCGGCGCCTGGCGCGGAGGCACGGTCGGCCGCCGCCGCTGCAGGGGTGTGGCCGGCATGCTGCGCGCGCCGGCCGAGGGCGGCACCGGACTGGCCGAGTAGGGCAGCGAGCCCGGCTGGCTGGGCGGCGGCGAGGCGCTCTGACTGGAGCTCGGCGAGTCACACTCGGTCAGCTGCGGCCGGCGCAGCGCTAGTGACTTGGCCGGCAGCGGCGGCGTCCTGAGCGGGGAGCAGAGGCATGGCGTCAGCACGGCGGTACGGTAGCAGCTATGCATACATTCTGATAAAAGACGTGATGAATAGGCCATCACGAGAATTAGGTAAGGAGTTAAGAACGAATGAAAATCGCGAGAAAGACTAATACTGCGGCGAAGCAATAATAATAAAAGACATTCGTCAAACACGTTTTATTTTATTTATTTATTTTTGACTTGATACACAAAACATTTAACATTTAAACTCCGGCAGATTTAAAACGGTAAAAATAGCATTCGAGCGAGTGACCTCTCAAACACGCCATAAAACTGTCTCGCACACACCTGACGTCCGGTGTGCCGGCGGCGGATCTGGCCGGCAGCTTGGGCGGCGGCGCCGGCGACTGGCCGTTGATGGTGATGGTGCCGGTGTCGGTGCTGGTGCTGGACGCGCTGTCGCCCGCGATCGAGATGGTGGTGCAGTGCTCGGTGGAGCCGCCCACGCCCGGCGCCGGGCTCGTGCTGATATTCACCAGACTCTGATGATAGAAGAAAGAAGACGGGTTAGACCCCGGTATAAGGAAGAGCCCATAAAGAGGGGAGAAAGGATGCTGTGACGACCACAACAACCGAAAGGGGGGGGGGCAGACGGAACGGAAGAGAGAATAGCAGGAGAGAATAGTTGGATATAGCAGGCAGGGAAAAGTGACGGGCAAGATAACAAAAAAGGACATGCTCAGTATGCGCATTCCAGATTCCACGTACAAAAGAGGGAGTTGAGTGGCATGGTAGCAAGACAAGACACGAATTAAGGATAAGAATGAACGCCTTTCAAACTTGTCATGAGAATGCCCCTCCTTTTTCATGACCAGTGACGGTATGGGGTACAACCGCAGGCAGGTAAAGGATATGGCATTGAGTCGACCGCCGGATTGATATCGAATCGAATCTAGGGCTGAATGGCCAGAATCGTAGAAAATTCGAACAAGATTACAATGTACAATAATGGAATTTTCAACATCGCATGATTTATATCGCATCGTTCAACGCAAATTCATCACGTCATTTCCTATTCGGCGTGAACTTCAAGACAACGCCACATGGGATCACACCGTCCCACGAATAATCATTCACACAACAGAATCCACCGCAGACCCCTCTTCATGCCGAGACAATGCTCCGCCTTTGCTCTCCACCACGATTCCCTAGACGCGCACCCATGCCATGCTCTCGTCTCACCTGGAAGCATCCTCCGTTGGCGGGCGCGGGCGAGGTCTTCAGTGACACGATGTCGGCCGAGTGTATGCTGGAGATGGAGCCCATCGATGGCCGGATCAGAACCTCCGAGCGGCACGCCGGCAGGCCGTCTGTCGGGAGGGCACCCGTGCGGTCAGCTGTTATAGCTCATGAGGTCAGCTAAAGAAGCATTTATTGGTACTGAAAAACACGGAGTATGTCCATAACTCACATGGTGAGGAAACCCGAGCAAAGCAGCCTGAAGTAAAACTGAAGTCAAGCAAACAAGAGAACGGACTAAAACTGACCGCGTTCGGCCCGTGACCCCTCCCATTACTCACTGGGCTGACTGAGGCCCACGTCCCGTGTGGGTATCGTATCGTCCTCGTCGTTGTAGTACATAGCACGGCGCGTTCGACCCATACCCGGGCCCAAACTGAGCCGGTGGCTCAGCTTCCCTGCACGCGCAAAAAAAAGAACCGATCGTTAACACATATACACAGACACTGTGATCGCAATAAGTTACAAACCGGCAAGGAGCCAGGCATAAGCGATGGCAAAGGAAATGCTTGAGTGGCATCTGTGAGTCTAATTTACATATCACAATACGTTTGAGCATGCTGTTCAGACTTTTCACCGGAAATCGATACTGCGCTACCCTACCCCTCATCAAATCAAGTCTCACCGATGCCTCAACCCCACCCGATTCCAGCTACACTCTCGGTGCGTAGCGCCTGCACTGACCGTTTGCACGCCGGTCGCCGCCGGGGTCGGTGGACCGCAGCAGCGCCGTCTCGTCGATGGAGACGGAGGACCGGTAGCGGCGCCGGTCCTCTGCCAGGGAGAGCGGCCGGCCGCCGCCGCCGCCGCCCCCGCCCAGAGAGCGGCGGGAGGAGGGCCGCTCGGAGCACCGCTCGTCAGCCGCCTCCTCCTCTGCAGAGCGGGGAGAGGGAGGGAGGGAGTCAGACGGCTGGGGAATTAGGGCGGGAGACCAGCTGAGAGAACGAATGTATGCAATAAATAATACGCTTTTAATATTGTAGAATATAACATTTTTTTACAAACAATGTGCACAAGAAAACAAATTTACCCTATACCACATTTCCGTATGCTTCCTTACACTGTGAAACAAAGCAAGACTCCAACGTTGAAAGTTGAAACATGTCTCAAGTCTCAACACAGCCGAAAGCTAAAAGATGCACCCATCCACCCACTTCCAATCAATCCCTCACGTTCCTTTCCCCGCTGCTGAGCTCCACCCACCCTGCTGAGGCGACTTCCGCAGCGAGTCGGGCCCGCTGTCAACGCTGTCGTTTCCGCCGCTGCCGCTGCCCAGACTAGCCGAGTCCGGACTGTCAGTGACGTCATCGAGTCGCGAGCGGGACCGAGAGCGGGCCGTGCGCGGCACCCGGCTGATGAGGTCCGTACCGGCGCGCTTCACTCGCCGAACCAGGTTGGCCCCGAAACCGCGCCTGAGGGAGCGAAGGGGGAGGGAAGTTAGAGAGGGAGTAGGTGTTAAAACTGCATATGGATATGGGGAGAGAAGACGGTAGGTAGGTTTGGAAGGAACACACTGGATGTGAATTTTATAGCTACGCCTACATCAGTGAAAAAAAAAAATGTTCCGGAACCTAAATAGTAGATGAGTGAATAAATCAGTAAAACGGTTTTCAGAGGTACCAAAAGGAGCAGGGCATGGGAGAGTAAGGTCGATAGATTTCCTGGTTTTCGACTTAAGCTGATGGCATCTTCCTGTGCTCACGACTCGTGATGACCAAAAACACAGCATGTGCTCACAAAATACAACATCAACCATCAACATGCAACATTCGGCAATTACTGACAGAAACTCTTATTGCTTTCAGCTGAACAGCTGCAAATTGTGAACTAAGTCGATAAGTAAATACATCTTTGAGCCTGTAAATTCATCAGCCAATCAGTGTGCCGGTATCGCCAGTCATAGATTAATCCCGGCGAACACTGGCTCTGAGACGGCTTGAAGTGGGGTGTTGCGTCGGACTGGTCGTCACAGCTCGCCCAAGAGACCTCAGACTGACTCATGCTCGAAAAAAAAAATGTCTATGCTTAACTCAACTGTTCTGATTATTCCTTCAGGAATAGCTAATTCATAACAACAGCATGCAATAGACTAGCATACAACGACGTACAAACAGCCAACGACACATCCGAATTGTGTACAAGACAACGTGTACGGAACTCACGAGTATTGAGGAGACAGAGATCCACGGTCGCTAAGAGAGCACCGTGGGTTAGTTGGCACTGAGTCGATGGACCTTTAATACAGCACAAGTTAGTGCATGCCCGCTGATTGTTATTTCAGGACATGAATTGATACACAGCAGAGGCAGGTACGTACGCCAACTTTAAACCTAACGACAACCACACAACTCGGGTGTTAAACAAAATACCGAAGCTATTCAAAGTTGAAGCTTGGCTTAGCCAGATGCTGGCATGTGAACAGCGAAGCACTTCGTAGACTAGCAGACTACGTTATTAACCATAGCTGTGCACTGTGTTAGCAAGGTGTCTACCAGAACCCATCGGTCCATATAGGTACTGACTTTTTCGGCGTGTAGTTGTCCATCCGCCGATACTGCTCCATGATTTTCTCCTCGAGTTTCTCCTTCTGCCGTCGGAGGTTGTTGAGCTTGTCGGCCAGGCTGCGCTCCTCCTCGTGGAAGTGGTCCTTCTCCTCGAGTGTGGCGGACAGCAGGTCATGGTACTGGGTGAGCAGCACCGTCACCTGGCCCATAAGGGAGCGGCGGTCCTCCTCCAGTGCCGTGTTCAACTGTGTCAGCACCTGACGGGGGGGGGGGGACAAAGGGTCAGTCACTGAGCTGTGTCAGCACCTGACGGGGGGGGGGACAAAGGGTCAGTCACTGAGCTGTGTCAGCACCTGACGGGGGGGGGGGGGACAAAGGGTCAGTCACTGAGCTGTGTCAGCACCTAGAGAGAGGAGACAGCGGGTCAGTTACTGCAATGGCGTGTTCAGCTGCGTCAGAACCTGGGAGCGCGCACACACAATTAGATGAAATATGACAGGACACGCCTCCAACGTCCAGTCAAATGAACTCGAGTTTCGATACTTGTGCAGAAAACGGCACAGCCTAGATAGCTCCAAGAGCTCAATCCTCTCTCCGGCACACCGCGCGGCCGTCTCACCTCACATCGGTTGGAGAGTTTGGAGATTTCCACCTCCAGGCCGTTGATGTGGTCCCGGTTGTCGCACATCTGGCCGCTGACCTCTGTCTGCTTCAGCTTCAGCGAGTTGTTCTCAGACTTGAGCGACTTGTAGTCCGACTGCAGCGACTTGTACTCGGTCTTCAGCTTCTCGTTGGCCGTGAACAGACTGCGGAAATCGTCCTGCGAAAAACGGCGGCGGCATGCGTTAGACGGGTGACGTAATTGCTGCCTAACGGCGTTATATTGTTAGAAAAAAAAAACAAACAGCATCGCTGTCATATTGTGGGATAATAATGAAAAGCTTATGATGCACTGGATGTGCTTTTGCAACATTTAGACAAATGCAAGCATTTGAGTTAAGCGATGAGTCAATGATGAGACGCACACAAAATGCGAAAACTGACTTTGGGATTGACTATTGGAATATCATTGACGTTACGCTATTCTCCATACACCACTCATGAATCGGTCCAAACCTTGAGCCTGGAGTGTTCCTCTCGCAGGTTCTGTAGGGAGCGGGTGTCGGTCCTCAGACTCTCCCGTTCCTCCTCCAGAGTCTCCTTAATCCTGACTAGGTCATCCTGACCGCTGGTAGCCGCCTCATAACGCTCCTGAAACGGCAGCACAGGGTCACACAGGTCAACCCGAGAGGTCAGTCCGGGCACAGCCGCACTTCAACGTCCTGTATTAGAATGGAGGTCGGTGTGTGATCTAAGGTGCAATTATTTTCGCTTCACCTCGTTTTACAGGAAGGTCGTAACTGTCTATGAATTCTAAAACGCTACGATACAAAACGTTTCAACCATCTTTTTCAATGTCCATTGCAGCCCCGACCTGAGGTTTTCTCCCTTCTCCACGACGGTGGTATCACCAGGAAAGTAATATTGGTGCTATATACCTGCAGCTGTCGGAACTCGTGTTTGACCGTCTTGTTGGCGCTCTTGAGCTGCGCCTGCTCGCGTTTCAGCTGGTCATACTCGACGGTCAGCTGCTCGTGCAGTCGCTGCAGGGTCTCGTGGTCGGTGATCAGCTGCTCCTGGGAGGCGCGCGCCTCCTCCTGGGTACGGCTCAGCTGTGGAAGGACGCGGCAGCGGGGTCAGACAGTGGCAGTCACACACAGGGAGGAGCAGAATGTGACTAAGAAAGCCCGGCGTAGACATTGTGAACAGGGATGACAGCTTCCGGGATACCCATCTGCCGTCCTCTACATATAATCCTCTTCCCACACCAACTAAACTGCTCCCTCTCTTGTCTTTTTTCCTGTCATCCCGCCTACCCACCCCTCCAACCCCACTACGACCGGCCCTTCCCTCTTCATCCTGCCTTCCCTCCCTTCTCCCTTTCCGTCCTTACCTGGTCCTTCTCCTGCTGGGCGGCGGCCGCCTGTGTGCGCAGCCCGGTGATCTGCGCCGTCAGCGAGGCCGCCTGACTCTGCACGGTCGTGTGTTCCACCTGCAGTTTGGCCAGCTCCGACTGCAGGTTCACGTTGTGCTGCGTCAGCTGGGAGAGCTGCGACTGCACGCTGGCCAGCGCGGCACGCAGCTGCTCCAGCTGATCCGTCAGCGACTCCTTCTCGCTGCTGAGGCTGTCCCGCTCGGTGGCCAGGTTGTTGTTGCGCCGCTCCATCTCTGCCAGGCGCGCCTTGACGCCGCTGAGCTGTTTGGAGCTGTCGCTGGTCACCTGGCCCGTCTCCTGCTGCAGCTGCTGGTACTCCTGGCGGACCGCCGACAGCTCCTGGCGCACCGCCTGGCGGAGAAAACACGAACTAGCTCAGCACACGGCCGTATACGCAGCGCTAAGAACGTTGGTTTTTGCGAGACTGAAATAAGAAGAGCTGGCCCAAAATAGGCAAACAAATTTTCTATTTATCATGACAAAATGTCCATGAAGAGAGTAATTGCTACAAGCTTAAAAGAAAACTGACATTTAGCTCAGTCAGCAAGAACACGCGTGACCGGTGAAGACCGTAGAGTACCGTACCTGTTGCCGTTCCTGCGCCTCCTTCAGTTTGTTCTCCAGCAGGACGATCTTCTGGTCCTTGACCTCTGTGCTCTTCTTCAGCGCCTCCTCCATCATCTGCTGCAGCGCCTTGAACCGGCTGCAATGGACGGCGTCGGTGATTGAAAACTAGCCTCTAAGTGACCGATAACAGCTGAGCTGCTAGGCAGTATAAAAGTAATTGACTATATTCCATCCCCTCCCATCCCGTCCGGTATAGCCAACGTCCTCTCCTCGACACTGTAGCCAGAGCCCACCCCCTCCCTCCTCTTCTAACCCACCTTCCCCAAACACTGTGGTCTGACCTCCCCTCCTCACCTCTCCCCTGCGCTGTAGTCGGAGGCGGCCAGCCGGTCCTTGTCAATGCCGACCCGTTGCAGCTCGCCGTTCAGCTGTTCCAGCTCGGCAGTCAGCTGCTGGCTGCGGATCTTCTCCTGAACCAGCTCCTCGCGGAGGGTACAGAGCGTCTTTTTGTCCACCCGCGTCTCCTGCAGTAGGCTGGTCTGGAGGTGGAGGGTGGGGTCAGTTAGTGTAAGCGTGGCACATTGGTGAAGTATAACAACGTCCGGCCAGTCATACAGACCATATGAACGAAAATTGCCGCACGCCCTCTCAGCATTTAGAAAACCAAGCAAGGATTTTCAGCAGTTTCGGGTTGGTATCGTTGTTACAAATTGGTGCTCGTACTAGCATACAAATCCATAAACCATGTCAGCAGCACATCCCTCTAGGTTTCACATCCCTCCCTCGTATCCCAATATCCATCCCACTCCTTACCTTCTCACTCTCCAGCTGTTTGAGGGCGGCCGCCTGGGCGTCCCTCTCCTCCAGCTCCTTCGCCAGCCTCTTCCCCTCTCGCTCCAGTGTGGCCACGCGCGACGACAGCTCGTCCACACTGGCGTCCTTCACCTCGAGCGCCTGGCGCAGGCGGGCCGTCTCCTTGGAGAGCGAGCTCTTCTCCCGGGACAGCATGTCGTTGGCGGCCTCCAGCTCGGTGCCCTCACGCTCCAGGTCGTTCAGACGCCGGGTGGACATCTGGTGAGGGGAGGGGAGGCTAGTCAGGGGAGGCCGGGTGGGAGTCAACAGTGGAACCGCCGATCGGTGCAAGTGGACCGATAAGTGAAAAGGTTTAGATGAAGATTACAATGGATTAATTGATGTAAATTTCTAAAGTTGTTTCAAGGCCGTTTGAAATGGCAGATTTTTTTTTTTTTAACTACTGACATCACTGTGGTTCAAACTACGCTGGAAACACTCGAGCGAACGGAGCTAACAGGCGTCTCTCCACAGCGATTCAACACGTCACCAGCTCGCAACCCAGCCAACCACTAGCGTTCCCCATCCTCACCTTGAGCGTCTCCACCGTCTTGAGCAGCTTCTGGTTCTCCGTGTCCAGCTCCTTATTCTCGGCCTCCAGCTGCTGTGCGCGCCGCTGCCCGGCCTCCGAGGTCTTCTGCAGCTTATGTTTCTCCGTGTGCAGTGCCGACAGCTGCACGTCGCACTTGACGTGGGCGTCCCGCAGCTGCTGCAGCTGCCTCTGCAGCACGTCCCGCTCCTGCTGAACCTCCTGCAGTCGCTCGGCAGCGCAGCGCTCCTGCTCCTGCAGCCGGCGCGCCTCCTGCTGCAGGCTCGAGTGGTCCTCCCGCACCGACTCCAGCTGAGGAGAGGGGAAGGGGGAGGGGTCAGTGAGGAGGAATGGGGATGGAAAAAAGAGGTAGATGCCTGGCTGACAAGTGACAACATCAATTTTCAGCAATGAGTGGAAACTGATCGAACCCTAACATAACTTTACATATCCAATCAAGCTTTCCATGCAAATAAACCACGAGTCGTGAATAATCACTGAGGTTGAATGTGCCTCGTGCTTTCATCCGCACGACCTTATCCTCGTCTTTGCTTCTCCTCGCTCTCCCAAACCCCACCAATAATTTGCCGGAACTAACTCTAGATTCGCTCTCCCTGTAATCCGACCGTGCATCATGCATATCGAGCACGGCCTTGGCCGCCCGCTATAGGATCCTTTTTCACTGCTGACCGCACGCTCACGCACGGGACAAAAACAGGGAGGCACCGCGATCACGGCAGGGTGTTTTTGTGACGTCATGATCACAGTGTGTGACGTCACGGTCCGATGAGCATTCGGGGGGGGGGGGCTGACCCAGCACCAGGTTCTGACAGCACTGCTGATGTGGTATACAGTGACAAGCAGCCCACTGTGAACTGTCGTTCCGAAATAGAAAAACGCTCCGACAGCGTTGTAGGTCACACGTAGAATACCATGGCAGCATGCGTACACTGTTGAATCAACGCAAAGTTTCTATCATAAATTATCGCCACATCGCGGACTACACTGAGCCTGCTAGCCTCCAGACGTTCTCTCACCGTTGCCAGCTGCTGTTTCATGTTCTCGACCAGCTTGGTGAGCCGCTGGTACTCTGTCTCCAGGTTAGAGTGATCCTGTTCCAGCTTCTCATGGCGCTCACACGTCTGACGCAGAGACGCGATGGCCTGCGGGGATACGAGGTCAGGGGTAAAATCAGCAGTCGGGACTTGAGAGGTGAGAGGTGAGAGTATGCTTGTTTATTTGAGATGAGGGCTAACGATTCTCAAAGATATCGCTTAAAAATATGCAATAGACATTCCACCATAAAAAGAAGCAAAGACAACACCTTCATTTGCAATTGTTTGTCATCAAGTCAATATAACAAAATACGTCGTTAACCCTCGCCGGCACAGGCCATTTGTTGTTGTTGTTGTTGTTCCTCCCGGGCGACCTCTAGGGTCGCCCGTCAGCCAGCGGCTCCAGATGGCGCCTGAAGCCGCGGGCCAAGGCCGCGACGACGTCGCCGTCGCGCAGCTGCGCAGGGTCCACGTGTATGTTGCCGAGCAACCGAAGGCGCAGTCCGGCGAGACTCGGGCATCGGAGCAGCACATGCTCCGGTGTGTCCGCCTCCTCCTTGCACACGATACATCGCGCCGCAGGGCAGTCCTTCTCGGGGCAGCCGGGGCACGAGTTCGTCGGAAGGCGGCCGATACGGTGGAGATACTGGCGGGCCATTCCCCAGTGACCGGCCCTCAGTTGGTGTACATCCACCGCCTCGCTCCTGCTCACGCCGGAGACCGGGCTCGGCATCCGGTCTCCCCAAATTCGCCGGAAGAAAGAATCCGGCCACGACTTGCGCCATGCCTCTGCAGCCGTCCTGGCCACGGCGCCCGTGATGGTGCGGACATCCGCTGGCGCCTCCTGCTGGAGGCCGGCTGCTTCTCTCGCCAGCTCGTCCGCCTTTTCGTTGCCGGGGATACCGCAATGCGCTGGTACCCACTGCAGCATCACCTCTTGGCCTCTGGCGGAGATGCTGAGCAGCAGGGCCCAGATCGCCGCGCCCATCGGGGTGGTCTGCGATCCCGCCCCTCCGGCCAGCATGGACAGCGCCGCCTGGGAGTCGGTACACAGGACCACGGGTCCCTCTGCCTCGGCACCTGATAGGTTGCTGACCTCCTCCAGCGCCGCTTTGATAGCGCACAATTCGGCGCGGGTGCTGGAGCACAGGCGTCCTGCGGCGACCCTGATCTCCCTGGCCTCCCCGTTCCTGAGTATGAGGAGGGCGCCGCCGCCGCCGTTCGTCGTGCCGCCCTCCGCCGAGCCATCGCTCCAGATCCAGGTAGCGGCTTCTGGGAAGGTGGCGAGGTAGTTCTCGGCGGTCTGGCGGCGAATCGCGGCGGGGGCGTCCCGGCTAGCAGCCCCGCTCATGTTCGGGGATATCCTGATGGTGCCCGGGTCAGACCACGGGGGGAGCATCACCTGCAGGCGCTCCTCCACCGGCACATCCTCCAGGTGGCATGCTCGGAGGGCCTCTCTCCCTAGGCGTCTCCAACCAGTGGTCGACTTCAGTCGGCGAGGGGGGTCTTGATCGGCGATCACTCGCAGCGGGTCGTCTTCAGGTAGCGATCTCGCCAGGCAGAGCATCCTGGTGGCCAGAGTGCCTCGCCTGACCTGAGCGGCTGGTAGTCCGGCCTCTGCCATGAGCGGTGCTACCGGGGTTGAGCGTGTGCAGCCGGTCACCACGCGAGCCACCGATCGTAGCTCGCGGTCCAGCTGCTCGACATGTCCGGGGGGCGTGGCGGGTAGCCACGCCGATGCCGCATACTCGAGGGCTCCTCTGATGTAGCCATTGGCCACCGTCCGGAGCTGCTGTTCCTGCAGTCCCCACGACCGGTTCGTCATGGAGCGCAGGTGGGCGATCCGGGGTTTGGTTTTTCTCCTCACACTGGCACAGTGCTCGCCGAAATGAAGAAGCCTATCTAGCGTGATGCCGAGGAGCTTCAGGTGAGGGCTTCCCTTGACTTCGGCACCATCAACCTTGAGCTTGAAGTCAGTGGCATCCTTGCTCCACTGGGAGAGGACGAGGGCTTGTGTTTTTTGGCCGGCGATCTTCATTTTCCAGCGGCGCGCCCACCCCGCTAGGGTGTCCGCTGCCTGCTGCGCTCTGGCCTTTGCTTCGGGCATCGAGGCTCCTGCGCTCAGTGTCGCCGTATCGTCCGCATACGCGAAGACTGACGTCCTCGGGACGCGGCCGAGGTCCTCGATGAGGTCGGCGGACCAGAGGGTGAAGAGGGTGGGGGCCAGGACCGACCCCTGTGGCAGGCCCGCTCGAAAGGGGCGCTCCGAGCTGCGCACCCCATTCACCTCGGCTCTGGCTCGGCGGTCCCTCAGGAAGCCGAACACCCACGTGGCCATGCACCTCGGGAGGTGACGGAGGAGTTTTGAGTAGAGCATCCGGTGGTCCACTGTATCGTAGGCGCGGCTAAAATCGAAGGCCAGCAGGACGAACTTGTCAGCGGTAGATCCGTCTACCGGGCGTCCCCGTGGCTTCGGCCGGTTCCAGCCGTCCTGTACTGTCTGGATCAGTCTGGCAAGGCTCTCCTCTGCGCCTCGGCCTCGTCGGAAACCAACCTGTTCGGGCGGAACCAGGCGCTTCTTATCCGCCACGTAGGTTAGTCTAGCGGCGACCATCCGTTCAGCCAGCTTCGCCAGGTGACTGGTGAGACTGATGGGACGGTAGCCGCTCACCGAGCCCGGGTTCTTGCCTGCTTTAGGAATTGGGATAATGGTTGCCCTTCTCCAGGTCGAGGGGATGAGAGCGGTATCCCAGGAGCGGTTGATGAGGGAGAGGATGACTCCCCGCGCCGTAGAGCCCAGGTGTGACAGGTACTCGGCGCAAATATCGTCTGGGCCGGGGGCCTTCCTCATCTTCAGTTTTCTGAGCTGGGCCTCCATCTCCTCTTCCGAGAAGGGTTGACACGCGTCGGTTTTTCGGCCCTCACATGAGCACGGGCGCGACTTCGCTTCGACGATTTCCGCTTTGACCGCACGGTCCCGGTGTCGTAGGCGTACGTTCCTGCTCACGTTTGCGTAACTTGAGATGAATGCCTCGGCCTTGGCACGGTCCTCCACAGCCAGCTGGCCGCGGTCCCCGTTGATCGCCTGGCCGGGGCATGCACTCTGTACGGCACCCTCCATCTTCTTCAGTATCTTGGACACCTTCCCGATAGAGGTCGTGCGGTTTAGTTCGTTGGAGGCGAAGTCCTGGAATGCCTTCCTTCTTGCGGTAGATTCTTGTTCCGCTGCTCTTGTTTTGGCAGCTTTCCATCGGGCTCTTGTTTCCTCCGAGGGGGCCCGTTGGAGCTCCGCTCTCGCTTCCCGCCTTTCCGATATTGCGTCCACCAGGTCAGGGTCGGCGGCCCACGGCTTCGGATCGGAGCGCGCGCCCCGGGGGACCCAGTTCCGACTGGCCTCGGCGATGACAGCAGTCACCCTCACTGTCAGGGCTTCCACGCTGAGATCTCCGGCCGGGATCCTGGCCATCTCCTGCTCGCATTCCGCTTTAAACGCGGTCCAGTTTGCCTTATTGAAGGCCCACTTGGGTTTCCTGACGCGGCGTGGGAGGTGTCCAGTCGTTGTGGCAGTGACGACCTGAGGGAGATGATCGCTCCCCAGGTCTGTCCCGATATTCCATGTACAGCGCCCCGCGAGGGTCCTGTGAGCCAGCGCCACATCCGGCGCAGTGAGACGTGAGCCCTCTCCGTAGCCAGCACGGGTGGGCGCCCCGGTGTTGAGCACCCTCCAGTCCGCGGCCTGCGACCACTCGTAGATGTTGCGCCCCACCTCGTCCGGGTCCGAGCAGGAGGCATCCCAGGAGGGGTGGTGCGCGTTGAAGTCCCCGACGATTAGAGTACAGTCTGATGTGGGGAAGGCACAGGCCATTTTGAGTCCTTCGACGGCACAAGGGGGAGGGGGTTGGTACGACCCCCCCCCTCGCGTTTGGCCCCTGATTGAGCTAGAGCTTCGCGGAAAAAACGAGCGTGTTGCCCGTCACGAGACGAAGCCGATGATACCCAATTTTAAGGTCCTAGGCCATCGGGTGACCTTCCAGGTCAGGTCAATGACCCGAAAACCGGGAAAATCGGGACCTGTTAGAAAGTCGTAAAGTGTGGCTGCTATGTGGTTTTCCGGGGTGCTGATCACGAATATCGTGTTAGTTTTGATCAGAGATGATGTCTTTAAGCATTTAGACCAGGTCAGGTCAGGTCAGGTCAGGTCAACCGGTAGGGGTTGTGACGGGTATTCGTAATACGTGTCAACCGCCTCTGACAGCTTCGTAACATATTACGAAGGCACCAAAACTACTTCGTAAATGTTCAAATGGTTGCTAAATTCGAATTCAGCTCCAAAAACTAGCCTAGAAACATGTAAAACTCGAAAAAGTGAACTGAGGTCACCCGAGGTCACCAAAGGTCAATGACCTGACCTGACCTTCAGGTGACCTTGACACCCACCCTAATGCATGGGAGCAACATCAAATCACATGTTTGAACGTTTGAAACCACGAAAAGCTTGCAAACGCGCGGCTAATGCGAGCCGACATGCGCCGAACCGCGATTTCGGCCAAACATGGTCACAGAAAAGAGGTCACAGGTCAAAGGTCATTGGGGTCAGGGTCATGAAATTTTCAGGGTAGGTGTAAAATTGATCAATGCGAGGGTACTGAAAGTTTCGTCGCGATCGGCCACTTTTTACGCGAGTTATTCGCGAAAAACCTTAGGGGGGGGTTGCATCAACCCCCCGTGCCAGCGAGGGTTAATGATAGGTCCAAGCAGAGCACACATTTTGTTCTGCTCTTATGACGCCAATTAATTTTCTCACCGTCTGCAGCTGTCGGTTGTCGCGCTCCACGCCGGCCTTTTGTTGTTCGGCCTCCTCCAGTCGGACGGAGGTGTCGCGCAGTCGCTCCGTCAGCCGGCTCAGCTGCTGCTGCTGAGCAGTCAGTCGGGACAGCTGGCTGTTCAGCTCCTGAAACACGTCAGCAGAGCCGTCAGCAGAGCCGTCAGCAGTCAGCAGTCCGATCAGCAGTCAGGAGGCCGTCCCATCAGCTACTGCTTCTGTCGATTTGGGAAACTACCGGAAAACCAAGCTAAGGCTTACGTAAAACTCCAGAATTAGAATTCCTTGCAACGCGTAAGAATTGCATTCTTATCTACGAAACTTCGAAACTTGCACACCAGACCTCATAACAAGAATAGCAGAGTTTCGCAATTCAAAATAGCAGCCTGTATCCAGCCCACTGAGGCCAGCCGATATTGAAACACCAGACGCGAGTGATTTATGGTTATGTGCCCGCCGCAGTTTCCGGGAAGCCAGAAATCATTCGCAGAAATCCTTTGAATGAACAACCGCTTACGGATTGCCCACCTGACAACGCATCAATCAGAGACTGAAAACTGAGAGCAGTTCCACAAAAGCGGGAAACTCAAGCACTAAAACAAAACTAACAATTGGCTGCAATAACGTTGCATTTCCCAGGTGTGTGCATTGCTAAACAACAACGAAATATGAGCAGCTGCAGCCGCGAGCTCAGCGAACGAAATATACGGAGAATGCTAAAAAAGAAGCTCGCTTTTGAGAATGACTGTGAGCCACGCTGTAGCAAACTTAACTCGACATTCGAGACCATTGAGTTCAGGAATACTCCACCATCAATCCTAAGTTATATCTACAGCTCTAGTATAGAACGTTCAACCTTAGCAACTTTCAAGACAGCTGAACTGAACACCTCAACCCTGTCGCTCGGCAGGCGGCGGACACGCACCTGGTTTTTGACGGTGAGGTCGCAGTTTTCCTGTTCGACCTGCTGCAGCCGCGTGTCCCTGGTCTGCTGCTGACGCACCCGCAGCGTCTCCACCAGCTCCTGCAGCTGCTGCTTCTCCCGCTGCGGGATCGGTGAAATAGGGGAGGTCAGGGGGAGCAGAGGGGTGGCTCAGAGGAGAGCAGGGATGCCAGTTGGATAGCTTATAGGTCGGGAGAGTGCCATAATAACACTTTTGGCAAACAAACTGGATGATGTGTGCTCAATATTCAACAGTTATACTCGTACATCCCAAACGAAATCATAGGCTTTAGCAGCCTTCTGTCGGAATTAAACTAATATGACCCAGTCATTAATACACACTAAAAAATATACTATCCCCATAATGCCACCATATCTGCTCACCCACCCCTGCAATTACTGCCGGCCAACTAAGCCCACTGTCCAGCGGCTGAACTAGGTATCTCTTTCGTAAGGGGGAGGAGAGAGGAATGAGGGAGGGGGAGTTCGTACGGCGTACCTGAAGCTCGGCCTGCTGGCGGTCGCTGTTCTCCCGGACCGTCTCGATCACCTGCTGCAGCCGCTTGGTCTGCTGTTCGCCCTGACACCGCTCCTGCTCCAGCTGCTCGGCACGCGCCACCTCCTCCTGGGAGCTCTTCTGTAGCTGCTCCACCTGTGGGAGGAAGACGTGGGGGTCAGAACAGTATGTAGCTGCTCCACCTGAAGGGTTAGAACAGTCAAGGTTAGAAGGTTAGAAGGCCAGAACAGTCAACTCCTCCTGAGAACTCCTCTAAAGCGCGGCTCGTGTGCCCGGTTCGTGTGCCCATTGAATTCGATCCATTGTTTCATCCGATAGAATAAAGAAAAATGCTCCGATATACCTGCAGTACTTGGCTATTTATATATATGGACATCTAAAAAAGATTGAATGGCGTTCCTGTGTGTAGGCTTTGCGCAACGGTCAGCTTTATCGTGAGAAAGCAAAATTGCTCAGTTTCGTTGTCGTTGATTTCTGAAGCCGGAAAATGTGATACAATCCAACGTGCTAACGTTCTGATCAGAATCGACCTAGTACCTGTCAATGGCTTTTTATCATAGAGCGATCGGGCGTGACCGTATGTGCGAGATATATTGAAGCAATTACAAATCTAATTCCACAAAAATAATCCCATGCTAGGTAGTCTCACGGTGTGTCTGGCAGCTCCAAGGCCAAAAAGTATCCAACACATCTACAGATATTAAAGTTTAGAATATTGCCTAGTAGCTTCGTGCCTTCTCAGATCTTCACGGAAGGAGCCACCGACCAAATGCCGGATCGAATCAAGACGGCTCGGCAGCAGGCGAAACGTAGGCTGTTTCCACACTGTCCACAATCCGCAGTCACAACTTCGTATTCCCGCTCTCGTGCACCCTCCCACTTTCTCCCTCTGCCACTCACCTTTAGACTGAGCCGCTTGTTCTCCTTCTCCAGCTCGATGATGCTCTCGCTGGTCTGGCGCGCGCTGGTCTCCCGCAGTGTCTCGACCAGTGCCAGCAGCCGCTGGTTTTCCAGCTCCAGCCGCAGCGCGCGGCCGTGGGCGTCCGAGGACAGCTGGTCAGACAGGCTGCTGTGGCCCGACGAACCTGTGGACAGGGAGAGCAAACACTGAGCTATGCTTACAGCACCGGGAGATTCCAGAGCATTCAATATGATAACATGAGCCAAAGTACCAGCATCCAGCTGCAATCATCCTACTAAACTCCAACATGGACATGTAGGCACCATATAGGCACCACATAGACACCGCATTGGACTCCTCACATTGAAATAATACACTAAAAAAGACTCCATCTGTTGTGGTCTGGAGCATTCTGCGGAAAATTACTCCAATTTCCAGTGCTCCTTCTGTGACAAAGGGAGCGAGTAACTGCCGCAGCTTTCGCTCGGTGGGATAACATCTAGGTCTTCGGAGGAGCCAGGGCGGAGGAGCCACCATGGTTGGTCGGTAGGTGAACATGTGGGTCTTCATGTGCGTGGCGAGGCGCTGAGCCCCGTGCGTGACGTATAGTGGAAACCACAAACTGGAACTAGTTCCAGCTTTAAATATGCATTTTTGCCACAGTAAAATAAGAAATTAAGGAGTTAAATCGGAGCTCAGTCGGTGGCCGCTCGCAAGTCAGCTGGAATGCGGTAAGTCTCGTCGCTTTACATTGGACGGCGTTTATCCTTATTGTTAGCACTAACTACTCATTCTACGACAATCAGTCTGATAGACACGGCGAATTGAGTTCCAAAAATACGAGGCAAAGTTGGGCGATTAATATCGCTAATGGTCCAGCGAACGCTCAGCGAAAATAAAACGTGACTGAACAGTAAAATGCCAGTGAATGCACGTCTGCAAACGCGGTAGTTGGTGTAATAGGCTAGCAGGTCTGCTTTTATTATAGGGAGAGCGGAATACCAAACGTTTCCGTTGGGAGCCCGCTGGCACACTAACGCGCTTCCTGTTTAAATTGTCCAATAGCGAGCGTAATGTCCTGTTGGGTTTTTGCGTTATTCAGCATACCAAGAATTGTATGTTGTCAAGCATAGGTACCGTCTTTCTGGTGTGAGGACGGGACACAAAACGCATCATCCTCCTGGTCCCTCAGCAGGGATGTACCGTCCTTCTGGTCCGAACGTACCGTCCTTTTGATCCAAACGTCCCGTCCTTCTTTTCTGAACGTACCGTCCTTCTGGTCCTTGCGCAGGTTGTCGAGCTCGGCCACCAGTGAGGCCGACTCGTTCAGCGTGTTCCTGCTGCTCAGCTGCAGTCGGGCGTTCTCCTCGAGCAGCTCCTGGATCCGGTCCCGATCCATGTCGCGCTCCTGAGGAGCACAAAAAACATCTTAATTGAGCATATTCCAAGAAAATGTCCTACTACAGACAGCAAGCCTTCTTCATGACAAGAACGACACAATTCGACACAATTAGTAATCCGTGACAGCAGCCCAAGACGATGAACGACATTGGAAGGAAACCTTCACTCAGATTTCAATTCCGCTCAATATACATGTCAGCATAGCATTTACGGTTTTCTAATGACGGCTAAATAATCTGTTCAAACTATAGTCGGCAGAGGCCTGAGACCTACTCACCAGACTAATATCGTTAATTTGCTGTTTGTATTTGAGCACGGCAGTCTCGAGCTCGACGATCTGCTCGCTGCGCTTTCTGGCCGTGTCCAGCTGTTCCTCCAGCATCTCCTTGGTCTCCACCAGGATCCTGTGACGTCATATGCCGAGGGTCAAATACCAGAATCAGAGGTCAGTGGACAAGGGGTCTGGGGTCACTGTCATGGGATACCTGACCTAAGAAAAAGGTATGGTGCACAATAAAACGAGAATAGGTCTGGCTGATATAATCCTTTCACGAGGCAGACGTATTTGACGACAAAATTACATTTTAACTAGCATGAAGGTCATTCGGTGAATAAACAGTTAAAATACTTCAGAAGTATAGGACAGATTAGCATCAACACCATTGTTGCATAAGTTGTGCAAGGATTATGAAGCATTCAATTTAGGAAAAAAAACTTAAAGCGGTCAAAATCCCAGGTGACATGAGCTAGGAACAATTGAGAACAATCCTCAGAAACGGTAATCGCATTTGTTTGAATGAAAATGACAGGAAATACAAATATAATTATTCATGCACGCAAGGATGTAATTATGATAGCGCTAACGGCTAAATGGGTTCGGCCAATGGTGTAATTTCCAGCCAGCTTCCAGTTACCATGTATTTCAGAATTGCATCAACGTACATCCGCTTTTTTATATACCCAAGCATAGACCCCTTTAAACATGGACTGTGCACTGGCTTGGCCTAATCGACATTTGAGGCAAAATTTTACAAGCTTCTTAAATCACTTTAAATTGGTAGAATGGCCGCGAAAAATTATCTACAGATTCGTCTGGCCTTCATCTTTTGAATGAAAGTTCTATAATCATAAACAATTAAATATTTTTGGATAAAATTGATCTTTTGTAGACTCTGTTCTCTATCGCAACTGCAGGATTAAAATATGCAACCGAACGGAAGTGTCCCTTAACCCTCGCCCGTAAACGGCGATCTGCCACCTTCGCCCATGCAGGGGGGGGGTTGGTGCGACCCCCCCCTTGGCGTTTGAAAACGGAGCGTCGTAGAGCTTAGCGGAAAAGACCAACGGATTGCTCTCGCCGAGATCTCGCGATTGGTGGTATATTTTTTGGTCCTAGGTCAACATTTGACCTACTTTTGACCGGTCAAAGGTCAAATTTTCGGAAAAATAGACTTTTTTCAACTTTCCGCGGCGATTGCGGCAAAACGGTGGGAGATATCGACTTGAAACCTTCACTATCGTGTTCCTTGATCAATTCTCTATCGTTTGGTATGTATTTCGTTTCCCTAGCTCTAAAAATGGCGCGTTGGGAGCGCCGGAAGTCGGCAAGGTCACAGTCGGCGGCAGAAATTCGAAAAATCAAAATTTAAATTTTTGAAATCTGATTGTATTTTTGGATTTGGAAGGTCCATTTGCTCCCTATAGAAGCTAATATTGCTGCATATTCCCATTGAGGTGACAAGAATTAGCAAAATAGTGGTTCGGGCGCTTTTCAAAAATAGTACCGGACGCTGTTCCTCTTGTGACGTCATAGCTCCGTGACCTGACCTGACCCGGTCAAGTTTCTTATACCATATGATAGCCAATACTTGCCCCAACATGCATGGGAAGTTTCATCACGATCCATCAACCGATGTCCGTACCACCGGCAGGAAACCTCGGGCGTTGGCACTCAGTTTGTGAAAATCCGGCCGGAGGCTGTTCCCTTTGTGACGTCATAACTCCGTGACCTGACATGACCCGGTCAAATTTTTTTTTTATCAAAAGATGCGCAAGGTTTGCCCCATAAGGTACCCAAAATTTGGCGGCGCTGCGCGCCGCCGTTTTTGCACTATTTCCGAAAAACCTCAGGGGGGGGGGTTGCACCAACCCCCCCCCTACATGGGCGAGGGTTAAGACGACAAACGTGACGCGATATGCAGCGAAATTTTGGAAAATAAAATCTTTCACATGGTTGTTATGCACATCGAAGGACATCTCTGTCCATCTTGCTGTCCATCTGTCAGTTTTTGAAGTGTATTGGTAAGTTTATTCATGTTTTAATTGTTAACACTTCGCTGATATGTAGATTTTAGTAGGCATACATTTTTAAAATGGCACGTAAATGTGCTGTTCTTAAATGTAGATCTGGTTATAAACAGAAAAAGTCTGTTTTCAAATTCCCTGTGGAGAAAACCCGTCGTCAGAAGTGGATAGAGGTACTAAAGCCCCTGAAGCCAATATCTCTGGACTACAGTGGAGTGTGTGAGCTGCATTTCTCGACGGAGAGTTTTTGCGAGGAAGCACTAACAGCCAGAAGAACTGACCGAAAAAATCTGCGTTTGAGACCAGATGCAATTCCAAGCATATATACGCTGCCCATCAAGTAAGTGCCTGACTATATATATATATATTTTTTTGTGAGAAACTACCATTTCGTCAAAATATGTAAAGTAATCGTAACGAACTTCTCCAAGTCTTCTGACAGAGTGTGTGTGGGTAAATATTTTGCGTGTGGATGGCAAAATCTTTTTCTCCTAATAAAAAGTTTGAGTGCTCATCATCGCTACACCGACTGAACGATTGCCTTGCCACTTTCAGCCATTGATACGATTAACAGTGTCTGTAAAATGTACCTTTCAAAATGTTGATATTGGTGACCTAAGGTCAGGCCAATTTTGTGACCTTTTCATTTTAACCGCGCTCTCTGGAGGCTAAACCGTTGATCTAAGGTCCAATCTAAGAACACATTAGCGAAAGAGCGTCAAAAGAGATATCTGAAATGCGGTTTTGCACGGCGCTGTAGTTCTGGTTTCCGATTTATGCGCCAGTTTGTCGAAAAATGTTGAAATAGGTCATGTTTGACCTTTGAAGACCTCTGGTGACCTGACCTTTGACCTGACCATAAAAATGACTGAAGTAGTTTCGTAATTAAGTTAAAGTAACAGGCGAACAATGAATTAAGTAAATACGCATTTCTTTTCTTTTCAGCGACGGCGGGGATGAGGCCGAGGTGTCTCAACGTCCCACGTCGCGCGCAACGCCTACAGCGAGGCGGGAACAGCAGAGGCAGATCTGGAAAAGTCAAGAAGACACCATGTTTCAGGAGGAAAGGGTGCTCTCTGCTGTTGAGATGGCCGAGAAACTGGCTTCTCACACTATGCCGTCGGGATTCATTCTCGTCAAGATGCCAGCGACTGAGCTGAAGGAGGACGTTTTGTCCATCCGAATGGAGACCCTGGACGTAGCGCGAGGCCCTCTAGTGGTGCGCAGTTTGACGATATATCAAGATCTGCGGTACCAAATGCATGTGTCTGGCCGAGAATTGTCTACCTCCGCCACTGCCCACTTGGTAAGGAACACAGAACGATTTCAAACCACGTCGGAAGTGCTGAACGTGCTGGCGTTTCTAAAGGCGCAGCCTCTAGAAGAGTGCACAATGACATCCTGCCTGGAACTGCTGCAGAAGCTGGCTGAGGACGACACAACCGACTGCAGAGTCTTCAGTGGGTTCGCTGTCGAGCAGCTCCGACTGAGGACCTGTCCCAGAACCGCCCGCAAGTACAGCCCATCACTCCTCGGAACAGCTGTCATCTGGAGCCGGACAAGTCCCCAGCTATATGAAGAACTCCGAAACTCTGGACTCTTCATCTTACCGCACCGGTCCACACTAAGGAGACTTACGTCTGCACTCAGTGTCCAGGAAGGCCTTGAAATCGGTACGATGAAGTACCTGCAGATGAGGAACGCGAAGCTGACGCCAAGAGAGAGGATAGTAAATCTCGCTATGGACGAAGTCTATTGCGCCCCAACGCTGGAGCTCGCCGGCGGAAGACTGCATGGGGAATCAAGTGATGGCTCTGGAAAAGCGACCACAACGCTTTTCTGTACCCACATTTCATCTGTCGCTGGCAGATACGAGGATCTGGTCACGATGTCACCAGTGGCGCACGTCACAACGCAGGAAATGGTGAAGATGTTCTTCAACGTAGTGAAAGGCCTCACGGAGCTCGGATTTCGTGTGGTCTCTGTCACCACCGACGGACATCGCACAAATCAAAGCTTCCACCGAGCGCTCGGAGATGGCACCCACCCCGAGTACATCGTGAACCCGTGGAGCAGTGATGGGCTGGGAAGAATCTACACGATGTTCGATACAGTCCATCTGTTCAAGAACATCTTCTTTAACTTGTTGAACAAGAAGACTCTTCTCTGCCCGCCGTTCGAAAAGACCGGAGCTGCCCTAACGGTGAAATCTTGTCACCTTGAGAAGCTTCACAGAATGGAGTTCGGCTCTCCAGTGAAGATGGCCTATCGTCTCTCCGATAAAGTCCTCAACCCGACGAGCATAGAGCGCGTGAACGTGAAGCTGGCAGACTCCGCGACCCACGAGACCACCATAGCAGGGCTCATGGTGTACAGTAAGGAGCCTGGGTGCGACGGATTCGCAGACACTGCCGAGTTCCTGAAGATAGTAAGGACTTGGTTCAACATTGTGAACGTGAAGTCGCCATACAAGCACGTGGCCAAAAGGGACGATTTACTCAAGCCCATCTGCCTGGAGAATGAAGACGGTCTGAAGTACCTGGAGAAGTTTGGCGCTCTGATGGAGGACTGGGATCGACAACCGGGAACAGCAAAAATCTCCTCTGACACTCTTCGGGGTCTCGTCCTGACATGCAGAGGCCTGGTGGGCCTGTCAAAGTACCTGCTGCAGGAGTGTGATTTAGAGTACGTCTTGCTAGGTAAGATACAGTCGGACCGCATAGAGGGTCACTTCGGCCACCTCAGAAAACTTGCCGGTGGCAACTTCTGGGCCAGCCCGCGCCAGTTTACAGAAGGCGAGGCTATCATCCGTGCCAAGAGCCTGCTGTGGCTGTCTGGGTACACTCCGGATGAAGTAGCGGTAGATATGCGGCTCGTTACTCAGCAGCGAGAGGAGAACGACCACCGTGTGGCAACAGAGCTAACACAGATCGCTGCGGAGTCTCTCCCCGCTGAGGAAGGACCAGAAGAAGGCAAGGACGCGGTGTTTCACATGGCCGGCTACTTGGCCCACGCTGTGCAGAAGAAGCACAAATGCAACCCTTGTCGTGACCTTCTCGCGGATGGCCATCGCAAAATTTCTGTGAAAATAGCAGTCAGCGGAGCTGAGGAGCAGGAGGCTGCCGCTACATTCACAGACCTGCTGAACCGGGGAAAGCTGCTCCAGCCATCTGCCACTTGTCTCAAAATCACTGAGGACATATGCTCCATCTTCAGGTCCCTGAGAGTTGAGGCTAAAACCCGCGCCATTTTGTTTGGGTGCACAAACCCCAGGAGAGTGTTTAAGGAGATCTCGCTGAACCTCTTGGAAGAAAAAGAAGGCTCCCAGCTGGAGTGCGCGGCTGGTCACAAACTCAGCAAACTCATCTTGCCCACCATGGCGGGGGCGCTGTTCAACGCTTGCGTCTCCAATCATGCCAAGGACCTGAACAGCCTAGCACACGCCGAAAAGAGGCCAAAGCAAGCACAGGGACGCGCTGGTCGAAGAAACTCGGATTCCGACAAGATCCGAAAGCTGACTGGATCGAAATGAGTGATCATTTGAACGCCTACGTTCTCCGGAACCTGATCTCAGGTTCTCAGGTGCATTCAGACTTCGGGTCAGAATTGGGTGGGAAACTACTGAGAGAAGTAAATAGGAAGGCATGCATGTGTATTTTTGCACAATACAAAATAAACTACTCGCAGCATTTTTTAATAGTTTTCGTTTGAAAGGTGGGGTGTTTAACTAAGCGTCAAGTTTCGAGGACAGCGCAACTTTATGCGGGAGTCGATCCCCGATCATTAAAGTGCAGGGGTCGCCCCCCTCGCCCTGACCTCTCCGTTGGCCATGTCCCTTAGAATAAGTTAGTTGCGTTTCTTTTAAAGCTATTGTGATTATGAATTATCTAAAGCGCAACAAAAAGCACCGAATCGAATGTAATGCTAGATTCATTGTTTACATAGGAGGCAAAATTTTGCCTCAAATGTCGATTAGGCCAAGCCAGTGCACAGTCCATGTTTAAAGGGGTCTATGACCCAAGCTACGCTGAATACTCAGTGTCGGTATCCACCGGCTACAGGCTGTCTATGAGCCGCAGTTCGGCTCCTCTGAGCCCCCCTCTGACCCGGACCGCTCCTGCCGTCCTCACCTGTTGTCTTCCCGCAGCTCGTCCACCCGTGAGCGATAGAACTCGATGTCGCTCATCCGGTCCCGGTAGCGCTGTAGCTCGGCCTCCAGCTTATCCACCTTGTTGGCGCGCTCCTGAACAATGTCCAGCTCGTCCCGGTACGCCTTGGCCGCGCGGGCGTCCTGCACCAGCTCCAGGTTCTGCGGGGGTGCGGGTCAGGTCAAAGGTCAGATCATAGGTCAGATCATAGGTCAGGTTATGGGCCAGGTCATAGGCAAACCGCAACAATTCTGCCAACAAGATTAAATTACATGGTTCATTCATGCAGGGCTTACATGTATTGCTATGAACCAATGCAAAAGCCACCATTCATCATGGAGTGAGACCCAACGCCGAGGCCGCAGCTCAATCTTGCGTACAATAACAGCTCCAGCCCGGTCATATGTTAGTACAGAGGTCTATTTAGTGATCCAACTAACCACAAATCGCAGGGAGGTAGGTAAGTGTAGCGCACATGTCAAGAAAGTTAGAGGTTGGTACCGAACCCAGGTTATTATTTCAGTCCCTTGCAAAGTTTCCGTGTCAGACTCATCCAACACAATAACCGGCTATTATTGGGCAATTTGCACGTCATGCAGTTATAACAAATAGGTACGGGGGTCGGCATGAAGGAAGAACGTTTTCGCACCTTCCGGAACGAACGTTTTAATGACGACATCATACACCATGAAGTTGACAAAAGAAGACCAGTTAAATTGTTCCACAAAACGGTTTGGTAACTGGACCATTTTAAATGCGTCGATAATTGGCAATTTACGTAAAATATTGGCGAATAAGACGTAAACTGACTCCGAAAACTGGCATTGCAAAGGAAGTGTGTTTGATGCATTGCTCAGTGTGCTCCCAAGCCTCAATTTCAATTCGCGTCTTGCGGGCACCTCCCGTAAACATTGACAATTGACATGCGCGATATTAACCCTCATTTCATTTTCCAGAGTGTCAAGGAAGCGTGGTTGGCGAGTCGTGTCCAAGATAACGACACTGGTGAGTGGTGGGGTAGGGGATGCGGCGCTCGCTACTGACCTCCGCTCGCAGCTTGCTCAGCGTCTGCTTGTTCGTCTCCAGCTCCTCACGAAGCTCCAGCAGCTGCTCCGTCTTCTCCTCACTGCAAACACGCAGAGAAGCGGGTGTCAAATGAGGAAGTGTCACCTGGGTTTCGTACACCTATAGCGTAAGCTCGTTAGACGCTATAAGTTGCACCTTATATTTACTGCCTACAGACGACCTCCGACATGCACTTGACACGCATTAGGCCTTTCTGGGTGTTTTTTTTTCGCCATAAGAAAAAGGGGTTCCCGTCTTGGTAGCATATGTCCAGCCCAGCTCATCCTAAATCCATCAACAAAATATTCGTCAGCGGTATTTGCCGATCTCAATATCGAACGTCCATCCCACAGCCAGACACTGGAATCGCACCTCGATTCGGCCCGCACCGGCCGCCCCGGGGCGGGAGCCGTCGTTCGTGACCGACCACCTGAGACGCGCAGTTCGGTCCCGAAGAACAATGGAGCAGTTACAAACAATTAGCCGTGGCCGCCGGTCTGTGTGTATGTGTGTGCGTCAGCGTATGTTTGTATGTTCCCAGCGCTCGGCTGTTCGCTCGTAGAGTCAACGACACCACCAGCTCACCGCTCAGCCGGCGCCGAGGTCCCCGTGAGCGACTGTCGTGCGCCATAGCCCTGAAGGAGACCTTCAGTGAGACCCAAACCAACACCACGAAACCATCGGTACTTGGTGTGTATCAAGCCACTGTTGACCGACTAATGATACTCGTCCCAAATTCGACTTGAACAGTGCACAATGACCCAGACTGCGTAGAAAATAACCCATCACAAGCCCTCTACCACTTCCCAATCACATGGCCGTACATAGAACTAAACAAGCCCGATGCGCGCCCCAATACACATTACACATGAACCAATGCCGTGCGCGTGCGCCGCTACAACGGCGCACAAAAAGCGTCAAACGGGCGCCGCGCGGCCGCGTCATTACATCTCGACTCATTTCCATTCGGTTTTTGTGGCCGTCTTCGCCGCAGGCCATAGGACACATTCCGAAGTCCGAACCCTTCCCGGTCGCTTCCTCATGCTGCTCTGGACTCACGGAATGGACTCGGGCTTTGCTCTAGATTCCGACAAATATACTCTGATGGCGGCCCTGTTTACGAGCTGCTGAGGCTCCTCAGCGCTTTCCGCTCCAATTCAACGCTAACCCGCGATCGGGCGCAGCCTCCCGTTCACCCTTCTATACCTCACACAGCCCCAGAGTCCGACCCTACGACTCTCATGACTCCTCCCATGCCAGCGGCCCACCGCCGGGCTCAACTAAGGCGCTCCGACGGGCGCTTGATTTACAGCGGGACATTGATTTTCCTTAGCGGTCGGCGGGGCGGTAGATCACGGCATACCAGACAGTTTCAGCCCTCACCGACCGCAAGCTGATGCAGTTGTGCCATGGAGCTGGTGGCCCGGGAACTGACGAAAGATGGCCCTCAGAAACGATGCTGGCGGATGTATGGTCGAAATAAGTAATATGTGTGTACGATTAACAGGCAAATGATCGCGCTTGATCGCAATGGAGCTTAGTTCAGCATCAGCCTCTTACGCATCCATGTATACGGGTAGCAGTTAGCACTACACAATACACAACCGGTGAGGCCTAGCTAACCACATGGGGTGCCAGTCGCGAACCAGCTGATCCATCACTGAGCTGAGCTATTATGCATGCCGGTCGGCCCAGATACAGCGGATCTCTCAATATCCGGACTGTGGCCACAGAGCATCGCCGCCAAAGGAGGAACACCGACCATGCACGGTAAGGCAATGGGTCACGTCATGCGCGGTGGTGTCCCATTTCTGACGGTCAAATAGCGTCCGTCTTTAGCCGGGACGAGCCATCACCGGCCGTCGCCGTCGCCACTGGGTTACCGCCGGGTCACCGCCGGGTCACCGCCGGGTCACCTGCAGTCACCAGTGGATTCGCTGCCTATCAGGGTCCGGCGACCGTCCGTTCCTCCACTGTGCCCGGAAGACAGAGTCACCACACGTCCGGCACTCAAGCTCCAAGCCAAGGAGGTCCACGGCGGTCAAAATGAGATCTGGGGCGCGCCCGCTGTCCGTCCGTCGGGTCACGCGGTCAGCCCGGGGTCACGGCCCGGTGACCTCGCGTGCCCTGCGGGTGCGCCGGGGTCACCCGCATGCGTCGACTGGGGCTCGGTGGAAAATGAGCGTGCCGGAGTGCGTCGAAGGTCGGTGACGAGACTGGGGTGGTGGGGGCCAGACGGGAAAGGACGATATGGCGAGAATATGTCACAGGAAGCCCCGGGTAGCATCTGATGGGACTCAGTGTTAGGGGTGAGACAGGTCAGGGGTCAGACGATTCCTTCTAAGGTGAGATACAACAAGACGACCCAAGGTCCTTCAGTATGTCGAGACATTCGGAGTTGCAGCCTGCTTTGTACTCAACGGAACAAAGAGAAAACCCTGTGTTCGTGTTTGCGAGTGACGGTCCCTGTGCCACAGGCACCCAAAGACGAAACTTAGCAGCAGCTATCTGACCACATACAGTGCACAGTGATGCAAATGGGGTTCACGAGTGGCCATAAATACCAAAAAGTCAAGTTTACCAAACCGAGTAAACCTCTATATGGCTAATCAAAGAAATGTTTGGCGCATCTGAAATCACATAGTTTTCATATTTGTGTCAAAACCGGTCTCGTGTATGATTGTCAGAAGTCGTGACATTTTCTATGTCGTAAAATGACTGTCAGATACTCGCAACTTCAAACGCCGCTAGCGTGCGTTCATTTCATACAAATGACAAAATTATACATGGCAATGATCCCTAAAACCTGCTGCCTCTCATGCCGGGTCACAAAAAGCCGCATCTTTTTTGGTTTGACGGTGATCTAATCATTTGTCATCATGTTGCAATCGCAGTTTTTTACTAAGAAATATTTGCTTTCGTTTCACCTACAGCAGTTTACACAATGTGTGCCCGTTAGTGCATCATACCATATCATTCCCTAACCATTTCTGAGTCACACCGTGAAAAAATTAAGGCGCTAGCACAGGGCAGACCGGCGCTATTGAAGTTTTTGTCCGGCGCGGTGGGGTGTGGCGTTCGGGGCGGATTGCTTTCACCGCGGATCGCAATTTCGACAGACGTTTAACTTTGAACTGCTATAAGTAGGTCAAATATTGACCTTAAGTCAAAAGTAATATGCTCACTCGCGAGATCTTGTCAAGAGCAATCCGTTAGTTTTTGTCGCGAGGCGCTAGGACACTTCGTTTAGGAACAGCAGAGGGATGCACCAACGAACCCCCGCTGAGGCCGCCCGCCCGCGGCGCGGCCGCCCGGGCTGCCCACCGCGCCGCGGCACCCGACCGCAACGGACGAAAACTTTAGTAGCGCCGGTCAGCCCTGTGCTAGCGCCTTCATTCTTTCACAGTGCGGCTCAGAAATGATTAGGGAATGCTATGGTATGGTGCACTAACGGGCACACACTGTATAAACTGCTTTAGGTGAAACGAAAGCAAATATTTCTTAGTAAAAAACTGCGATTGGATCATGATGACAAATAGTTAGATCAACGCCAAACCAAAAGAGATACAGCTTTTTGTGACCCTGCATTAGAAGCAGCAGACCTTGGGGATCATTGCCATGTATAATTTTTGTCATTCGTATGAAATGGACGCACGCTGTCGGCGTTTGAAGTTGCGAGTATCTGACAGTCATTTTACGACATAGAAAATGTTACGACTTCTGACAATCATACACGAGGCCGGTTTTGACAAAAACATGAAAATCATGTTTTTTCAGACACCCCAAACATTTGCCTGACTGACCATATTACGATTTATTCGATTAGGTGAATTTGAAATTTGGGCCTTTTCGGTATTTATGGCCACTCGTGAACCCCATTTGCATCACTGTGCAGTGCAGCGCTGACCACTGACCAGGGACAATAGACAAAGGGCGCCACCACATAAACCGCCGAACGTGGGTCACTGTCCGCAGAGCGTAGCTTACCTTCGAGACCAATGACCAGGGGCCAGGGACCACGGGTTCAAGACCACGGGCAGACCATATATTCAGGACCACTAACAGCCGCCGCGCTGGCCCTACCCAAAGCGTGCAGTTCGTCTCACGCCACAGTGCACGACTGTGTGTTATTCTGTCAGTATAACGGAGGAATAATATAAAATTCTGTCAACTCCAACGATAAAAGCCGCCTTCACAGCCTCGAAATAGGCGAATACGAGCTGGGTAAAAACTGATCATAAACAGTTCGTCCAGCTCACTGAATGGCGAAGGTTTCGAGGAATGCCCTAAGACTGTCAGTCCATCGTATGGGCATGGGAAACCCCATGCAGTTATATGCCAGTCCCGGTCACCGGCGTCCGGTAAACGCTGTGGTCTACTGTATGAATCTAGCGCAGCGGCGGTACGGCCTGCGAGCCCGCCCACTTCCTGCCGGGTCAGCCGCAGGTCGCTCCAGTCACGAGTGACACGACCGGTTCCTCGGCTCATGACGTCAGCATCCTGACGCTAACCCCGCCGCAGAGCCAGCCGTAAACCTCCTGGTACTCGACTGACCGGGATATATTATACAGCCGGCATATGCGGAACGGATTGATACTGGGTCGAACCGGAGCGCGTGATCCTCACGAGCCAGCGGCGGAGCGTGGTTATCAATAGCGTCACGCCCCGACCGCACACCGCAGATTAAACGCAGATACACGGAGGTCGTGAGAGGTTCGTGGCGCCCACGGCGAAAAACGCCCGCTTCGGCCAGTTCGCAGGAACGGCGGAGATAAAGGGGTGTTCAGAGCGGACCGGAAACTACAGAGATAAGTTTATGGCCAGGGTTGGGCCGGTCGATAGTGAAAACTGATAGTGATTAGTGATCCGTTTAGTGCTCAGGCTTAGCAAGTTCAATCGACGCAGAAAGAGCAGATTTGTGCTGTCACCTGATGCAAATTAGCGAAAACAAGAATATTATCGAAACATTAGGTAAGTATTTGGTCATGTTGATTGCACCAGCACAGGCTCGCTATAATAAAAAATGTAAATTAGACTTTACGTGAAGCCAGAATTGATGTTCCGTATGTTAGACCTTTGCAGAGGCCCAGTCACTCTAAGAAAACAAAGCCTTCATTCTTCCCCGAAAGTGTTGACGCTATGGAAACATTCTCGGAAGCCTGCGGAATGTTTAGCCGGCGCATAACTTCCTCGTCCACCGTTCAACTCATCTCCAGAAAGGTAAACAATCTCTCACTCGTTTTAGAGCTCGGTCATTATCTACGCGTTAGACCGGTTCCGTGAGTACGAAAAAACATCGTAGAAGCAAGCGCGATTTATAAAAGCACCTTCTTACAAGCCCTGTTCTTTTTGTGCTGATTTGGCTATTCTCTTTTCCTCTTGTCGCGCACAAAGCCCAGGCGTCAAACGGGGACACCGCCGCCGGCGGGTAGGTAGGTATTGGTACTCACAGCTCCTGTTTGACCTTGCGCAGTTTGGCCTTGCAGTCTGCCAGCTCGACCTGCAGGTGGGTGGCCGGCTGGCCGGAGCCCTGGCGACACCGGGGCTGGCCGGGGCTGTCCGGTGGCCGGCTGGGGCCCCGCTCAGAGAGGTGCTCCTGCAGCACCAGCTCCACCAGACGCTGCAGAACGGCACGGGGGGCGGGTTACACGCTGCGGGTAGGTGTCTGATCGGCACAGGACAGCCACAGGGAATAAGGTGACGAGCGTCTGCAAGTCTCACACATGATTTTACCAACAAATTTGGGTCCCGGGCACGTCGACTATACGTTCGTGAGGTGTTTTTGGTATAGAAGCTGGAGCAGTCTCGTCTGTCTCAGCCATCTTTGGCGTTATTGTTGGATATCCCAGACATTACACAATCAAAACACCGTTAGATCGTATTATCCACATGTACCGGCTTCCAATTTCCCACCCACTCAAATGCACCCGGTTCCTTGCTTGCAGCAGTTGCAAAAGCAGCGCCAATCTTCCGCCAAGCTTTATCGTCCCCACTCTCGAAAAGGCTCAATTCGCTCGGCATACACAATATTCGCGGGCTGCTGCACTTCGTGACCTCATATAACATGATGTTGGCCCATCAAATAAAGCCAAATGGCGTTTATCCTGTATTATGCATAATTTACGGGTGTGAGGTGGATGATTGTGCCCGTCCATGAGCAAGCAGGCTGCTCGGCGTAATTTGAGACCTGCAGCGCAGCGACCCCTCACCTCGGCACCTCATTTGAAACCAGCCTGGCTTCGCAAATAGATTGAGACGGATGGAATTTCGAGGATCGACAGGGAATCTAAATTCGGTCGCGACAGCGCCGTTGTCACCAAATGCTGGCAGAAAAAAGTTCGGAGAACGACAGCTTCTTCATTCGGCGCCACGTGCTCTGAAAACTGAGTAAAGCGAATCAACAAAACCGCACCAGAATGCAGAATGAACAAACGCCACCATTTCCTCCATTTCCAGCACTGTTGGCGCTCCCAACGCTTCTTCCCCTACGACGGATTGAAAAGTATCCTCCGTCATCCCTGCGGCCTCTGGTGTCACTACCATATCCCCCTCCGGTCATTGGCACGCCACAGGGCGCACACACTGGAATTGGATGGTCTCTGGGTCCCTGGTCCCTTTCTACCAAATAGAGCTGGTGGCTCGGCGACGAGACGTTATTACAAGAGCTCAGCCGCCGTCTAACGGAGCTCCAGTGCGGTGGAAAACATGCTCGGAGATGTGTGCGGCTGGTTTGCAGCTATGATAAAAAAGCAAGTCATTCCAAAACGCACACCGCGTGCACTTCCAAAAATAATGATAAGTAATATAGGCCATGAAAACAAAAGCAGCTTTTTGATACCTCCCAGGATTACTATCATATCTGATCGGCAGTCAATTGTGAGGCGATTAGAATCTGCTCGTCATGTAATACCGGCACGAATCTCCATTCAGCATGTCTGGAGTGACCTATAATGATAACGGGAGCTGACATGCTGGAACTAGGTACGTAGGTACTTCTAGTTCGCACGCGACAAGCAAGGGTTAGGCGAATTACGAGATGTATTTGTGAAGATTTGTGGTTCTCGAGCTTCCTAGTAGCCAACTGAAAACCGGCATTCTCACGAATTACAGTGAATTACTTTGCAACGGTCCATTCAGATTGATCCCGTAATCTTCTTTTCTCACGTTCTTCTCTTTGGCTTACAACAGCGACCAAATAAAGCTGTTCAGCAAATGAATACATCAAGTATATTCTAAGTCCGCGTCTACAGTAAACATGCAAACAAGGCAGCCCGGATGGTGCCACTACCCTGCACCTCCGTGAACTTCGCTACGGTGGATGACCACTAACCATCATCTAACTATAGCCGGTACGCTAAACCGTACCGAGAAACCGTCGAGTGAGGATGGTCACCATACGGCAGTGACCATTACCTATACTGTCTCAGAACGCGGTAGCGTGATGCGAACGGCGAAGGTCAGGGCAGCCGGTCGGCCGTGACGTGTCACGAGCCCTCACGATACATCACGTACCGTCAGAAAACATCACAGCCGGTCACGGAATGTAGAGGAAGCACTCGGCTTAACACTGAACTGTTAGATTAAATGAAAGAATCATCACCTAGCGAGACAAGAAAATACGACAAATTTATGTAACAAGCAATTTACAAGACAGCGACTTATGTTCCGTCAACGTGTTTGATCTTAAAAATAGTTGTTTCGGTCTTAATGGACGATAGAAACAGGCTACAGACATCTGTGCAATCTTGATGAACAACATATTACGGACAAGAGCAGAAATGTAGCCCAAAACGGGAAGAAGAATACATCATAAGTTTTTTTTTCTGTTAAGTCATGTGTATCATCTGGTCTAAGCAGGACCGCGGCATCGTTATCATATAGTAAATGTCAAGTCTTCTAAGCATCTAACTGTAACAAAGCTTCGGTACATACATAAACCAGTAAAAAGTTATAGGTATGTGGCATTAGATCACAGCGATAAAACGACATCCCAGGAAAAAAAACTTCGGAAATTCCCACATGAACTGTCTATATTTATCCATTTTATCTTTTACCCACCCCATGTCTCAGTCGCAACCACTTCCCCATCCCGTATACCACCCACGGTCCCTCTCTTACCATGTTGAGGTCGTGCCTCCCCCCCCCCCCCACTCACCATGTTGAGGTTTTCCCTCCCCCGTCCCCCACGGTCCTCTCCCTCACCATGTTCAGGTCGTCTCTCTCCCGCACCAGTCGTCGCACGTGGCCCACCAGCAGCTGGAGGTGCGGGTCGTCGTCGGCAGAGGCTGCCTGCTGGTCGCTCCACTCCTGTGTCCACACCGTCTCCGGGTTGTCCGTCACCTGTCGGAGAACGGGGCGGGTTAGACAGCTGGAAGTACAGGTCTCGGCGGGTCCTTCACGGGGACGGCAGCGGTTTAGCTCAGTTGCAGATATCTTCCAAGCGCCCCGAGATCTAGCATCGTACATAGTGAGTGTGCGTAGTGCGTAAGACGGGCCTAGCAAAGTTACATTCGCCTCAGAGGATCTGCCGGGTGCATAGCCTCAGAAGGTCCAGCTGCGGACATGGGTCGAGCTTTTCCAGGAAAGTTGGTGGGGCAAAAAGTCATCATAACAGCAAGGCCCGACTGTCAAGTCGAATAAAATGCTAGGCTGAAACTATTCCTGTCATTACAGTGATAATCATTAGCATCGAAAAGACATTCAAAGGCTCATCAATTGATTTGCAACGCCACAAAGTCCTACAAATGAGCTGAAGTTGGTGGGGCACAACTCTTATTGGTGGGGCAAAATGGCAAGTTGGTGGGGCAGCCGCCCCACCAACTGTATAGGAAGCTCCGCCCCTGGCTGCGGGTACGCACAGCGGCTCCGCCCAGTCGCGGTGTCCAGGGCTAAGGGATTGCCGGATGCCGGACGAAGTGTCGGTCCCGGATGAAGGCCTCGTGACGTACCGAGGCTGCGTGGTCAGCACGGTCAGAGAAGGGCGTGGCCGACGAGAGCGCCACGATAACCAAAACGCTTCAGAGTCAGATTTCAGACCTCGTAAATGATTCGTGAACGTGACTGTCTCAATCAAGCTAAATCAAATGTGCCTGTGCAAACTGTTATTAGTAATGCAATCTTACCGCCGTAATTGACGAACGATATACGTATATTAATAATTAATGAAGCTTGATTAGTTATCAATTCAGCTAAGCCATCAGCTCAGTAGCAGATTTGTTATCGATGAAATTCCCATCAGAACCAACGCGGGACACAACACAATGGATCGAGTTGGATCGAGCCGTATAAATGGATCGAGTTGAAAACCGTAACTCCCTCGAGCATAATTTGACCGATATTTACCCCATTTTGAACCGGAAATGGTCATTTCCCTTGTCCGCAGACTAAAGGAATGAATGCATATTCAGCTTGGTTTACGAGACCCGGATTAGAATGATGGAAACCGGCCAGCAAACAACACTACTTTTACGGCATATTGTGACAGACATAACAATGTCCGTCCTGTAACAGCCCATGAAACCAATACCACGAATGACTGCTGGGGCTCACCTTCAGATCTGCCGCTGAGAACAGCGTGCCGCTCAAGTGGAGCTAATCACGATAATGGGGTGGCGTCCGGCACTAATGGGGTGCCGTCCCGACGCTTTACGGACCTTTCAATGAGCGATGCCCGTGATGGCGTGAGAACACGGGTGTCCGGTACTGGAGGGATGGGGAAGGAGGCGGACCCTGACAGACGCCACCGTCCGGGTCTGCTCACTTTCTTAGCTACTCTACTGGTCGAATGGTTATTCCAGTTAGTGTGCTCATTCTAATATGGCTAGTTTTTATGCTATGCATAGGCAAACGCATTACTCGCAAACACGTATAATGCATACGACTGAGAGTTACAAGACCGAGTCCTCAAGTGAAGAAGTGGACCGTATGAAAATAGCATGGATAATAATTAGGTTTTCGCAATAACTCACGATTGAAAATACGAAGGGCGCGATTGTGCTTTCATTTTGATCGTGATTATGAGCGTAAGCCAGACTTTTTATCAGACTGCGTATTACGAGGCAATGGTAGGGCCTACCGTATTATAATTAACCGTTATACACATTGTCTGAAATTGTTTGTGCATTTTTTGTTTTTTAATGTATAACGACAGTGATCGTATCACATGATCGTATCACATCTGGAAAGACAACTGTGGACAGGACAGGCATTGAGAGTGTAAATATCGACTATCAAAGTCGTTTTGCTTGGTCAGGTAACAGTTACACGGCGACCATTGAATTGTGCGTTTACATGTCTACATAGGATTTTTGTTTTTATTCAAAAAAGGCCCATCAGATGTCGATATCACAGCAAGAATCGCCTTGAAACTGGTCCATTTTTTCTTCGAAAAAGTGCACAAAGAAACGCGGCAACGCCGCTGAATTAATTCTAATCACATCAAATCCATTTCCTCCGTCGCAAGCCACCTGTCAGCGACCCAACAGCCTCTAAATGGAAACAACATTGAGCCTGTCCTCACCCCTGATTACGCTGGTGACCGATACGCTCCCCTGGGCGCCACATTGTGCGTCAATGTACGGAAGCAGGCCCCCGAAGGTGTACCAGGACAGCGTAAACACACGAATCGATACCGGCCGCCGGAGGAGGGCAAACAAATGGCCTCAGATCACGCTCTGGTTTGCAGGAGCACGCTATCCGTACGGCAGTTGGCGGTGAGAGACGAACCGAGAAAAAAAAACACCAAGCAAGTAAGGCAAATACTTCCCAAGATGATGGCAATACATTGTCCAGCGTTGGCATGCGTCAATTCACTGCAACATTCAACAGAGAAAAAGAGTGTGCCTTGTTATTTAGATTGTGACAAATCAAACTACCACCAATCGCCCAGCGAGCACGTTTACATACTCCTTTCTGCTAAAACCCTGCTCTCTACCTACACCGGAAGACTGGGGAGGGCGGGGAGTGTGCCAGACATCTGCGCCATTCACGCACGAGTCGACATACACCGCGCCCATCACATTACAGGACAACGCCCCCGGGGCTGTCAACACGGCTTACACAGCTCGGCGAACGGGATGTGGGCCACGGGCGCCGCCAGGCACGGCAAGAGGGGAGCAGGGGCGCCGACAGACACCGCAAAAGGGGAGCATGAGCGCCGACAGGCATGGCAGGAGAGGGAGCCGGGGCGCCGACAGAGACCGCAGAAAGAAGTATGACGTAGAGAACTCCACATACTTAGATTCACTAGGCGAGTCTATGGGGGAATAAGTCAAACGGAATTGTATCTGTAAGGCACAGGGAGCCCACAAGGATACGGTATTGTCATAAATGTAGTAATGGTCAGATTAGAGAGAGAGAAAGAGAGAGGGAAACCGAGAGAGAGGCAGAGAGAGCGAGAGAGCGAAAGCGAGAGGGAGAGAGAGAGAGAGAGAGAGAGAGAGAGAGAGAGAGAGAGAGAGAGAGAGAGAGAGAGAGAGAGAGAGCGAGCGAGAGCGAGAGCGAGAGCGAGAGCGAGAGCGAGAGCGAGAGCGAGAGCGAGAGAGGGAGAGCAGAGAACAGAGAGCAGAGAGAGAGAAGGAGCAGGAATGTCGGGGAATAAGCCCAGCCGGCCTGTCAGCCCCTAGAGCAATACATGTATATGGCGTCAGTTCACTGGTCAGCTCAGCTCCCGTGACGCCTCTGACCTATAGCTCACCCCAAAATGAGTCCGAACGCCCCAGGGAGCTCCAGGTCATCAGTGGACATCACCAAAATTGAATCACGATCCTCAGAAAAGGTTACAAATTTATCCAAGAGCGTTATCCCGACGCCGCACGGCAACAAGCTATTCGCTGCATCGCGCAAGAGCCCATCCCAATCACTTATATCAAATATCAGCACGGGAGCCATCGCACCACGTCACCACGTAATTGAGCTGTTGACAACCGTATCAGGTTACCAGCCCGCGGGTCGCCAGGAGGCTCATATGAGGCAGGCGGCGCATCGACTCTACAGAGACTGATCGTCAGTGGCTTCATCTACAAGACGACACGGCGCACTGAGGGAGGTAGGGCCGGTCACCGTTCAGAGGCGATGGTGCCAATAATGTCACCGATCGAAACCTCTCAACGGCAGCTTCTGACGCAACACCGCGACTTTTTATAGCTACTCGGTCTTTTTTGGTATGGTGTTCTGCTTGCTAGAGCACGGTCAGCACTGAGTTATATTTAGAATTTATGGTGTGCTGTAGTAGGAATAGCAAAAATAACGAATACGAATCCCGCTAATAACCGAAACAAGCCTGAGAAAAAAGCACCAAAACATAAATGGCGTAGTCCAGCAACGGTTGATCCCCATCTACACTGCACAGACCGAGCTGATTGAGGGTGAAATACAAATGAATGCAAATTCCCGTAAAAGTAAAAAGTTTTAAAAAAAGAATAAAGCAAGAAATTTGTATACGCCCTGAGTAACTGTTGCACCATTGACCAAAACTAATCCTCGTTCACCCATCTCCCTCCCTGAGGTCTGACCGTGTGAATCCACCCCGCCCCCTCCCCGGCCGTCGCTCCAGGCCGGCGCAGCTCAGACCAGCGGCGAGTGACGGCTGACAACCGAGACCAATCGGCCTCTAATCCGCGTGACGTGCTCGCACACGAGCACACAAGCACAGCGGAGAGCGCAGCAGCGAACAAACAGGACCGTCGGCCAACGGACCGACCTGGACCGGACCACCCAGGACCGCGCGGCGCGCCCACAGAGGGGCACACGCGGCGGAGGTGCGTGGAGGCCGCGATATAGAGCAGGCGTCTTGGAACGATTGACAGATATGGCAGGATGTCTAAATACAGTGTCTTCTGTGTTATGTTTTCCGAGAGATTTGTCTTTGAGCGGTTCCGAAGAGTTTACTCAGCGTCCGCTGTCACAGAGTTCTCTAATGCTATTTTTGCTAGCTGATTGAGGCCCAGCGCTGATCTGCAAAACTGTCTTCCCAAACTGACACGATGTAGGCATTGCTGAAGAACATATGCTGTTGAAGAGTCAGCATAACTCCGATAATAATTCAGAGGCCTCCTGGCTCACATTCATCATCACCTACCCCATAAATTCCGTCAGTTAACATCGCCACAACTAGGACCATTTCCAGATACTTGACATCGTTTTAAACTGCAGTTCCGCAGATAAATTACCCCGGCCAGAGCAGAAATCTCACCGATTACGGGTCGGCAATTTACTTCTCTCCAAGGAGCCCTAACGTCAGCATGAACGTCTGAGTTGTAGTTCGATCTCCACTAGGCCTGCCCCACTGGGAATATGGTCTGCAATACGGGATGCGGTCGAGCTCCTCCCTTTTCATACCAAGTTCGGGCCTGGACCAGGCACTGCAATGGTCATTAGTGGATCGCGTGCGTCAGAGGCGGTGTGGCCCAGTGCCCTCCATTGCGCCACGGGGCCCCCAGATGGAGATTGCCACGTAAATTACCCCCGGCAGAGCGTAATGTCACAGAGGGAGGGAGTGGTAGAGAGGGAGGGAGGAAGACGGACAGCCGGCACGGATCAGGGTAGACAGGCGGCCTAATAAGAAGGTATCATGCAAGGACTGTACTTAGCATTTAGTGCTCAGAATGAGAACTGTGCAATGAGCCCATCACAACTTGTGCAATTCATTAAGTACACCCAGAGTACACCCAGAGAGTCCTTGGACGTCTCCATCTTCCGACCTCGGACTCTCCCCATGCCGAGTTGTTTGTCCGCCTGCTCCGGACGAGTTCAGGGCCGATTTGCTCGCCGCAGTCGCCCCGACCCACCGCGACCGTCATGGTTACCCACTACCCAGCCAGCCTTTTTGTGCAACTCTCTGTTTGCTGAGTCCGCTCCTGTGACGTCATTAAATCTCCCTGGCCGACTGACCTGCTGAATGCACTCGACGATGGCGTGCTGCGTCTCGTAGTCCATCAGTTTGATGTTCTCGACCACCTTCTGTTTGCAGCTGCACTGTACGGCACATCCGAGCACTAGTAGGAGCAGTCTGCGCATCTCATCTGTGGCCGCCTCGGCCTCGGAGCCCAGGCGGACCACGTCTGGCAGGCGGCTGACCACCGTCTGACTGAGTACCACCTGGAACAGGCAGGCAGACAGAGCCATGGTCAGAAGCAGAGCACAAAACAGACAGGGTCACACAACAGACTATAGAAAGACACGAAGTCACAACAGACTACTGGATGACCAATACCACTACGGGCTGAAATACAACCACGCATGAACACTGGGACGAACATTAGTCGCAGCTACTGCACCTCACCCCTTGCTTCTATATTCACTTCATTAATCGCACTAATTGCTATGCAATCCTATCTAATATCTGGAGGGACCCGGCGACCCCGCGGTATGTCCACACGCCTGTGTAATATCGGCGACAGGATATGAGCGGGGCACCGGGGCGGAGGGCTATGCGGCCAATGAGATATGACAGGGCGTGGAGCTATAAGCCCGAAACTGGAGCCGGCCGAGATAGTCAGCAAGGATCGATACGGGGTGACGGAAAAGGGAGAGAGAGGCCGAGAGGAGGCGAGAGAAGGGAGAGAAAGGAGAAGAGGAGAGGAAAGGGTTTATTATCTCCAAAGTAGACAGGAGGTAGACGAAAATGAAGCCAGTGAGATAAAGGCGGTGACAGAATGATGAGGTTGAAGACGCGACGCGAACTCAGTCTAATATCCTTCTAAAATACGTCCCCCGTAACCTCCACAGTTTACACGTCGATGTTGTTACACTGTTTCCCGGACAGCTTTGCACAGCTTTGCAATGCCCGACGTGAAGAATCGCAAGGGTTGGAAGATGCAGGCAAGCTGTTTTGCTTGAATGCCTCACAACAAATGCCGAAAGTTGCAGCTGCTGTAGCTTCCGAACAATGCGGATCAGGTAGTCGGATCGGGTTTCGGATACATCCATTGTTGACTCTGATTTCTGAGTAACGGCGGTGCGGAGCTGGCGTTTTATCTAGAGCCGCGGGGCTGCCCCGGCCCTCTTACCCCAGGTTCCACGGAACAGTACAAAACGCGAAAGAAGATTGCATGACTTTACATCGCCAAGCTAAGGTCTTTGATTTTTAAGTCAACCGCGAAATACCCGCATTCCAGTGCAATCATCGTAAAAAGGCGTCAAGGAACTATATCTAGATAATCGCAAGACAATACCACTGGCATTTGTATAAGATGACATTTTTGATACTGTCGAACAGGTTTGTCGACGCTTTGTCACGAACCCACCGAGGTGCGAACGGAGCCCACGAAAACATCATGGACCTGCCAATCTGGGCTTGCCATACACCATGTTCAGATGCAATCACCCACTGCACTTCCATTGATCGGCGAGGAAAACGACCCCCGGCGCCCGATAGCCATCGGACAAACACGCGCGCCCCAAGGTGTCACAATTCGACACCGGTCGAAGTCGTCGTTAGCGCCTATCGGGCCGGAGAACAGACGTACACCAGGAAACTCGAGCCGCGCCGGACTGTTCCAAATCCGTGCGTTGGCGGCTGGCGGGGTGGGTGGGGTGCGGTATCTAGGCGGAACACCGGTCCACCTGCACCGTTCGTGAGGAGGCGGTGCCCGTGCCACCGGAGCGTCCAGCGTTCCGCTCTGTCCGAGCCGTGGAAGCGCTCCAAACATAACACGGCGCGGGAGCGCGCACACGCGCCCAGCTGTGGTCCGGGTTCGTCGGCCGTCACGCGCTCCGAAGTGAATGATTGCCCGGATCGTCGTCGAGCGACGGGCGCCCAAGAACCCGGTTCGAGCACACGTAAATGTCTCCCACGGAGCAACGGGATGCGAGTGATGCGCCACACACTGGCTGCTTGCGCCTACGGTGAGCTGAAACCTACAACGACCTCACAGAGCAGCAGCAGTGAAAACAGTTGCAGTGTCATAATATTTCAACAGAAACGCGTCGAGTAATTGTCAGCGGAAGAAGAGACCAAGCAGTATACCTCATCGCTGACAAACAGCTTGAGGCCGCGTTTGGAGCTCTCCGAAGCTTGCCAGGATTCCCAGGCCCACAGCCTAATCACATAGTGCCATTATCCACGGTGAGCCGGGCCCGACATGCTTATTATGCTCAGTTTAGTTCCAAACACCGTAATCAAAGCAGTTCCACCGGGCTCGGGAAGCGACTAAGTTAGGAAGTGATGCCCTAATCCAGAGGGAACGCCGCTCAGTCGCATTACACATTAAACGACCCCGAGAGCCAGATCAGTTACCCAACACTCGAGGTAATCTGGTAATGCTAGTCTAATGCACATGGACAAATGAGACACCAAGCGAGCATAACGCTGAGCTACGCCCATCGCAAAAAGTGTATGTCAATCAGTAGGTATTGAACGACGAATTATTGACACAATTGTCCAAACAGAAAACCATAGACGAGGGTGACCATAAACCACAGACCAAAGCGATAGCGCACCGATAATGCTCCCCTACATCACTGCATTAACGCAAGTGCTATCGCAGGTTATACATATAGTGGAGTCGCCACGTCCCCATGCTTTAGTATATCCATACGAACATACATGCTACACATCGAGGTCACTGAAGTCGACTAGACGCGACCCAAAGACGGAACGGGACGGTTTTGAGCTCCGGCGGTGAGCGGGACAGGCACGGGCGGGGCCGACACGCTCTCACGGAGAGCAGAGACGTCCACCGCACACGTGCGTCGATCCAGCGTCGAAAACGAACCAGAACTCCATTATCCTCACGCGTGTGAGCCTCCCTCGACTGTGGGATTTTACTCTTGGAGTGAGATACCTGGAAGCCATGATACAGCTGGCGGACAATACCTACAATCTACACGTGAGCGAATGCCGAAGCCCGAAACAAAGGCTGAGACTAATACGCACCAAAGAACAATCTTCCTCATTGCTCCCTTGTGTTCTGGCCTAGCTATGGCCAGCTCTGTCCATACTTATGTCCTTTCGCCCCCAACCGTCGGACGTCCTAAGGGTTCAGCCCGAGGACGATCATCCCTTTGTATTCCCTGGGCCCCAGCACAGTCCTTCCGGCCCCCGGCCCTGTTCAGCCCGTGCCTGCTCCGTCTCAGGGTCGAGTGGCTCTGAGACAAACAGAACCAGTGCGACGGGTGTGTGCCCGACACCGGACCGGGGCCTACAGCCGGCCACCGCAGTTCCCACGGGCACCCCGACAGCTTCCGACGCGGCCTCGAAAACAGGGGGCCGTGTCGGCCGGCCGAGGTTCCGGTGTTGATTGGACAGATATGGGGAGAGGGAAACAATCAGGAGGCGGGGCGTGAAACTTCACAGGTTGTGATTACTGCTTCAACGACGACTTTACACCTTTGGTTTTAAAATGAAGTTTGGGTTTTTTATTTACACTTGTTGGTAGACGAAAGAGACGAAAAAACACACATGTTGCACAAGCACAACACACATGTTGTGCAACCCAGGACAGCAGTTTAGCTGTGTGTCGTTTCTAAGCGTATATCCACTCACGCTGCCGCCCGATCTGACCCAAAGGTCGCAGGTCGCATCTCCAGGCCGCGGGCACCTCCCACGGCTGGTCGCCTACAATCCCTTCAGATTTCGCCCGCGCCTCAGTGCACCTCGGGCCACGAAGCGAGGTTCACCGCTCACATTCCCCTCCTCCACCGATTGCGGCCCGCCATTGTTGTGGCCCACGGGGCATTGTTTTGCCCGCGTTGCGTCATGAGGAAACCGCCAGGTAATCGGCCACGCTGCGGCACGCACACCGTCCAAGCGGGCTCCACTGAGCGGCCCTCGGTTGACCAAGATCTCAATGCATCAGCTGGTTCCTGCCCATTCCGTTGTCTTGAACCGACCATGTTGTTTGACAAAGCGTGTGCGTACGAATAAAAACGGCGATCCGACTTACCAGCCGGTGTCACTCTTCGGCTAAGCAACCAGACTCAAAGCATATGCGTCATCCCGAGTGGCGCTGGGAGAGAGAGAGTGTCAAGTCACATTTCTTCAGAAGACTAGCAACAGTTCTGACAATATCCGACTCATGGGCAGCGGCCAATGGGTCATTCGTCTACAACCGCGAGATCAATTTCAATTGAAACTCAGCTCTCTCCTCACTCGTGACTAAGTGGCCAGCCCTTGGAACCCTTTGGGACCCTCTGTAGTCTGTAGTCTGTGACACGCTGACATGCCAAAACAGATGCACCACACCGGCGAGTCTTGGCATCGAGTCACCGATACCGTCTGTATCGCCACGTCAAGCACAGCCGCCACCATTCAACACAGACTCCCCATACTATATATTGCACTCCAATCCCACGATCCCCAATGTTTTCCCGATGATGAGCCCGGCGTGATGTACCGGCTGACCGAGTTCCCTGCTGCGTGCCACGCTGGGATCACGGACCCGGGGGGCGGGACGGACGCTCACGCACGGCTCGGACGCTCGGATCGTCCCAGGGTGACTCTTTGTGCACGGAGCTGGTATTGGGTGGTCCACACGCGGGTCAGAGTGGCCAAAGTGGACGTCCGTGGAGGGCGGAGGATGGCGACAGCGCTGGGATATCATGGTTTGGTCTTCTCTTCATATCAGACTACAGCATCACGGTAATTGCATTGATGGGATCCTGACTGTGACAGCAATATGAAGCTGAGACTATGGATGCTTCGTCGATATCCACTATCTAGCTATTGAGATCCTCGACATAGTATCATTAGTAACAATGATCCAGATTAGCTCCCCTGCCAGGACAATCACGCAAGACGAATCGGTCCCGCCCCAATCCCGCGAGCGATTGCTGCTTTTGCCATTGCAATCGACGCCAGTTGATTCAGAAACTCCGTGCCATCAAACTCAGTGAGGGTCAATCGAACGTAGTGCGCTATTTCGGCGAACATCAGGTCCACTCGATGGGCAGGGCAGGGTTCTCTGTTGGTTGTAAACAGCTTCCAAAGATCGAACGACGCTGTCCGGTCAGTCCACCCTGTCAATACACACCACCTGTTTACTTAACTTCAAACGTTCGATCCGACTTTCAATAGCCTCCCCGTAGTATTGTCATCGATCCTCAAACACATCGACTGGAGGCAGACCCGCGATTCGGTGCCGCACCGGTGGGGAATC